TGAAAAAGAATGGCCCCTAAAGAAAAAAAAAAAAAAAAAAAAAAAAAAAAAAAAAAAACAAAAAAAAAACACCTCTCCAAAAAAAAAAAAATGTATTTTCAGAATATGTCAATAACCTCCTCTTATTAACTAATGAGTCAGTCTCTTCTTGATGGTTGATATGTTTTTCAGTCAGTGATATACTCCTATGCTTATTTCTTAATATGAATTAGAGCCTTCCAAATTAATTAGTATTTGAAACCACACTTAACTTTTTTTTTTTTGGAGAGGTTTTTGCCATAGGGCGTGTGTGCTTGCCAGACAGACAGAGAGACAGAAAGCGAGAAATCACCCTACCGGGGGAAGGGTCAGACCCACCCTCCAGGGGGAATGGTCACACCGCAATCCTTTCTCCTCCATTCTCCTCTCGGGATCTTGAGCATGCACACACAAGCGCCCGGCGTGAGTTTTAAGCCATCAGGTCTGGGACTCGAACTGCAGTGGATCACATGGGAGTCCAGTGACATAGCCATTACGCTAACTGCTGGTCCCACCACACTTAACTTTTAAAAATATTATTAAACTATTTGGGGGCTAGCAGATGGCGTAGTAGTTACATCACCAGACTGCAACATGTCCTTCCAGGGTTCGAGAAAATACTCCAGGTGCATGTGTGTGCATGCCTAAGATCCCAGGAGGAGAATGAAGAAGGGATTGTGGCATGGCCATTATCTCTGGGGGGTGATTTCTCACTTTCCCTCTCACTGTCTCTGTCTCTCTCCAGTGAGTGCACACACCCTAAGGCAAAACCCTCAAAAAATTATTAAACTTTTTTAAAAACTAAAATATGTTTAAAAGTGTGAGGAATATCTATATATGTTATCATATGGTTTCATAACATTTATAAAATAACTATCATAGCTAAATGATTAAGTACAAAGGGATCTTTAAAAATATGTTTAGTAAATTATTTAATAACAAAAATATTAACAATATTAAAAAATATACTTAAACCTGTGTATTGATCTATCAAATTTAGGGATTATCTATGTGCAATGGAAAAAAGAAGACTTTCATTTTTTTCCTTCCTTCTTACCTCCCAATTTTGACTGTACCATTGCTTTTATTTCATTTCATTATTTATTTTTGCTATTATAAGTATTTATAAGGTTACTAAAGTCTGTCATATGAAACAAAATGAATCAAGTGGAAGTTTCATTTGGAGATTTTTCTGAATGGTTTTAGCTTCCTAAAGCTTCTTAATTTTTCAAAAATGTATCATTAATTCATTTTAATTTTGTTTTTAATAATAAATAAAATAATTCTTGAAAAATTGTTTTAGTTATACTAAATAATACCTAATTCAGGACTACAAATATATTGTGTTTTTTGAGAATTATTTCATTTTATTTATTACTATTATTTTTTAATTTGCTATAGGGCGCATCATGCGCTCACAAGAGAGAAAGACAAAGAAAGCTGCCTGGTCCAAGACTCAAATTGCAGTTGGCCATGTCACAGTCCAGCACCTCAATTGCCACGCCACCTGCTGGGCTCTGTTATTTGCTATGATCTTTATCAAATTGATTTAATTTACTTCCTCTCCAAGTTCATTTGTTTACTTTTTCCTTTATCTTCTCTCGCTTTTTTATTTTTAAATAAAGACCCCAACAGGTGCCATCATGTTATGATTCTCCCCCAGTCTTCAACCAGTCAGGATCACTGGCCCCTGGCATGTACACCCAGCATATTTAGCTTGACCCTGGATCTGAATGCAAGACTTTGGCTTCAGTAATGTGCATCAGCACCCTACCATCTACCACCACAGCTGGGCCCGTTTCCAAATTTACTATGAGTTTTTGTTAAGGATTTATGTTGAATGTTATCAACATATTTTTATTTTGAGAAGAATAAGTCAGGTATTTTCTTGATGATATGAAGTGATAGCTTACTATTAAGCTAGTTTATATTTTTGGAACTTGTAGTATTAGTATGAGGGTTTTTAATTGATATATGAATATATACTCAGTTTAGGTTCATAACTCATTAAGTCTTTTTTTAAATTTTCATTAATTTGTTGGGTTGTAATAATCTGGATTATACTTGTCTTTGTCTTGTGTGTGTGTGTGTGTGTGTGTGTGTGTGTGTGTGTTTTGTTTTGATTTGTTTTTTTAATTTGCTGTAGGGTGTGTGCCCTCATTTACTGGAGATAGAAAGGAGGGAAAATGAGAAAGCACCCTCCCAGGGGAATGGTCACACCACAATTCCTTCTCCTCCATTCTCTTCTCAGGATTTTGGACACGCATGCACACATTCAAAGTATTTTTCCAGTTGTCAGATCCAGGACTTGAACCATGCAACTGGCCATGAAGGATCCAGCTCCCTTAACCACCATGTCACCAACTGACCCCTACATTTGTCTTTTAAATAAATTGAGTTATTAATATTCTTTGGAATGGGTGAAATTATATTTAAATGATCTTTTTATCGTTCAACTCAAGGAAGCCAGTTTTCCTGATACTTTATTTTGTGAAAGATTTTAAACTATTGATTTAACTTCTTTATTGTTATAAGACTAGAGTCTCCCAGTAGCCATAGGAGGTTAGTCCTAGGACCAACTCAGATACCATCCGTGGATGTTTAAGTCCCTTAAAAGAATGACAGAGCATTTGCATATAACCTATGTACATTCTCTTGCATACTTTAAATTATTTTCATATTATTTTTAATACCTAATACAACATAGATGCTATGCAAACATAGTTGTAATACTGCCTTTTTGCTGATAATACTTTTCTCAATTTTATTTTATCATTTCTTATTTCCATTTAACTGGTGCACATCTTTGTGATGTACAATATGGTTTTTCAAAGCATGCATTCAGCATATGGTAATGAAGTCAAGGATATTACTATATTCATTGTTTTCAACAAAGAACCTTATGTTCTCACGTCTACACGCCACTCTCCACACCACCTCCATATACTCTTGAGTATCTACACTGGACCTACCTACTATTATGTCTTCAAATCTTTGTTTCCTTGATACTTTTTGTTTTTGTATTACATTTTTTTAAATTGCCAGGACATGCCTGCACTCACAGAAACAGACAGACAGATGGGGTGGGGGGGTGGGGTAGGGGAGAGAAAGTACCCTCCCCAGTGGGGTGCTGTCAAGCTACAATCCCTTCTCCTCTATTTCTCTATACCTTCAGGATTTGGGGCATTCAATAACACACACCCCTTGTGTCTTTTAAGCCACCAGAGTCGAGATTTGAACACGATTAACTATGTGGGATCTGGCTCCCCCAACCACTAAGCCATGGAGCAGGCCCTTGCTGTAATTTCTTATTTATTTTTCAAATATTTCTGATCCACAGTTGCTTGAATCCACAGTTGTAGAATCCAGGGATATGGAGGGTCAACAGAATCAATTTTTTAAAAACTATATCATTTTTCATCAATTTTTAAAAATATACCTTTTAATATCATTTAAGTTTTCAGATTTATAACCATAGTTATAGTCCTAGTATTTTCATATGTTTTTGACTCTGTATAGCATCTATAGATATCTTTTTAAAATTTATAATATTATTTATGCTTTTGCTATATTTTCAAAATTGATCTTGAAGGAGAGATGTTAATTTTACTAATATATTCAAAGAAAAAAATCTTTGGTTTTGGCAATCCTTTCTTATATATCTTTTCTTTATGTTAATTCTATTCTTATTTTATAATTGCCTCTTGTACCTTCTTTGTGTTTACCTTGCTGATTTTTTGTAACATTCTCAATTTAATGCTTAACTTACTGACTTTTAGTCTTTTCTCTTTTCTAATATAAACTGCCAGTTCAGTTTTTGTTCTGCTTGGGTAATCTTGTGTAATCTCCCTTTTGCAACTTTTAAAATTACGTGCCATATTGAGTGTTGCAGTTTTACTACCTTGGGTTGGGTGGAGGTTATTTTTAACTCATCTTAGTCATGATTTGTTGGAGCTCTCTAATCTAAGAATTGCTACTTTTATAAGTTTTAGTATCTTCTTAGTCATTATGAATCTAAATTAGCTTTTCCATGTTTTTTTTTCTATTCTTTCCGTTTAGAATTCTGTGTGAACCCTGAACTGTCTTTTTGTCCTTTAGGTATCAAAATCTCTTTTATTTATTTTTTAAAATTTCTATATTCTCTACTACATCCTAGATTAGTTCTTTAGATCTGTCTTTTAAATGGATTTTCTGTAGCTTTGTCTAAATGTCATTTTCTCAGGTGCAATTTTTCTCTCTGTTCTTTCTCTTGGCATTTTCCCATCGTACTTTGTGTTCAGTGATTTTTTTTTTTTTTTTTGCTTCAGGTTCTTCCTTATAACTGTGGAAATTCTCAGTTTAAAGGCATTGCCCTTGATCATTTCTGCAAGGCCCCAGGGAGTGCCACAAACTTAATACTGCATTAAAATACATTTTTTTTAACTTAAGGCATTTTGTACCACATAGGTAGTAAATGGAACATTGTAGGATTATGAATTCTATTCTATACCAACTCATCACTTTCTGTGGAACAGGTTTATTTCTAACCTAAAGGATTAGCTGGTCTTTGGAGACCAACTTTATGCAGGCGTCTCTTACTAGACTACATTATTTGGACTGGTTTTAGACTTCCTTCCTGTATTCCCTTCAAGGAGCCCTAGGTTTTGATCAGTCTCACTAAGGCAAAGCAGACTTTAGTGCTACTTCTCAGGATTCCTGCTTTCAAGTTTTTTGGTTTTTTTTTTTTCCTTCTGAGTATCCCTTCCTTTTATTTTTCCAATTCAATAATACGATTAAAAAGATAATATATTGGGCAAGCCTGTGACACAGTGATTAAAGCAACTGGATCCTACATGGCCAACTGTACAGTTCCCGACTTTGACCCACGGGCTTGGAAAATATGCTGGGCATATGTTCGTGTATGCAAAGAATCCCAAGAGGAAAATACAAGAGAGGGGATTGCAGGTTAGGTTAGCCATCCTTTCTAGGGGGTAGCCTTTCTCTCTGTCTCTGGTGAGCATATATGCCCTATAACAAATTTTTTTAAAAGATACATATTTGGTTCGGTGCTTCTTAAGTTCAGTGTGGATGTTCTTCAGTGTGTCTAGATATTGCAGATATGGATCCCCCAAATATGTAATTTTGCTGTTGTTGGTGTTGAAGTGAATTTACTTTGTGCCTATATGATTATCTTATCATCATTATTAAAGTGATTGAGAGTACTACCTAATGTTACTTTTTATTTGGGGATTGAAACATTTCTCCTAAATTAAAAGCTGTTACTTACAGACTCTCAGGGACCTCATGAGGTTAATTTACCTCTAATCTTCTGTGAAGTAACCATATATTTAGTCTTTTATTAACCTAAGATGTATGCCAATTTAAAAAAAAACAAAACTATTTCTGGTATGAGCAGATGGTGTAATGGTTACATTGCTGGACTCCCACATATTCAACCATGGTTCAAGTCCCAGACCTGGTGGCTTTAAACTCATGTAGGGCACATATGTGTGCATGCCCATTCTCTCAGAGGAGAATGAAGGAGAAGGGATTGTGGCATGGCCATCCTCCCTAGGTGTGGGGGGGATTTCTCATTTTCTGACTCTCTATCTCTCTCTGTCTCTCCGGGGAGTGCAAACCCCCTATAGCAAAAATATCTCTAAAAACACAAAAATTAAAAATCCTTCTAATTCTATCTTCCTTCAGGATATAGTTATTCTCCTTCCCTTTGGAAAATCACTTATCTGAATTTCTCCCTTTCCGAATTTCATCACCTCCTCTGAATTTCTCTTTCTTTATTCATAAACCTTCTGTAGTAAATTGATTTCTGACTGTTCATATTTGTTTGTTTGTTTTAGATTTCTCTCCCTAAGTAGATTTTACCAATTTGAGGGCAGGGCTTGTAATTTATCCCTGCAGGAATTTCTCCCAGCATCTAGCATGGTGCTGAGTATCTAATATACACTGTACTATCAAAATACTGAAGGGTTGAATGACCCTCTACTGATAAGAGATAATATGCATTTTTCTTTGTTTGACTGTTGTAAACAAACTTTAACTGATTTAATTATTGCATTTTGTTCCCCTAGATTTTCAACACATCATTATTTGAACCACCTCCTCCTGGATATGAAAACGTTTCCGATGTTGTGCCACCTTTCAGTGCTTTCTCTCCACAAGGATTGCCAGAGGTGAGAATGCGATAAAGTAAATTCCTGCATCTCACACATGCAGGCAGTAATTAAAAGTTAATAAGGAGGTTTTTCTTTTAAAAAGTTTATTTCTTCATAAGCATGAGAAAGAGACAGAGAGACAGTACCCTCATAGGGTCTTGACCCCACGATCCACCCCGAGCATCAGCTAGCTCTGTATTAGTGCAGGACTAGGGGACTCAGGTGGTCTCTGGATGTAACCAGCGATTTTCCCATGTGGGAATGCCTAGCGGAGTGTCAAGTTTTATTGTTTGAGTCATCATTTAGCCTCCATAGGGAATTTTTGATGTAGTCTGAATAGTCCTCTTTTCCACATTTAAGGGTCTAGAAGTTTTTAAAAATCTTTTTGCCAGGGGATGAGTGCATTTCTGAGAGAGAGAGAAAGAGAGAGAGAGAGAGGAAATAGGGTAAATGAGAAAACACCCCCAAAGGGGTGTAGTCATGTCATAATCCCTTCTCTTCCTCAGATATGGGGTACACATGCACATGCTCCTGATATGTTTCTCAAGCCACCAGGGGCAGAATTCGAATCACGCGGTTAGCCATACTAGGGTCAGGATTCAAACTGCATAGTCAGCCATGTAAGATCTGGCTACCTTAACCACCAGGTCATGAGACTGACCTGAAACTAGACTTTCTAATAGCAAAAAACAGGTACAGAATTTTTGTTTATGGTGTTTTATTTTTAAGATAATATTTATTACAGTGAAATGCATATATCCCAAGTACATATTTATTGACTTTTGATAAATGTGCACACCTGTGTAATACAAATCTCATCAATATAAAGAATATTATGTCTAAAAGTTCCCTTATTCCCCTTCTTAACCAACTCCATACATACTGGAGGCAATCATTCTTTTTTCTTTGGTCATCTGAGATAATTATTTTATTTTTCTTTTTTTGGAGAGATTTTTGCTATAGGGCGCGTGCGCTCGCCAGACAGACAGAGAGAGACAGAAAGATAGAAAGAGAGAAATCACCCCCCAGGGGGGATGGCCACACCGCAATCCCTTCTCCTCCATTCTCCTCTCAGGATCTTGGGCACGCACACACTCGCACCTAGCGTGAGTTTAAGCCACCAGGTCCGGGACTCGAATTGCGGTCGACTACGTGGGAGTCCAGTGACATAGCCATTACGTTAACTGCTGGTCCCATCTGAGATTATTTTGGACTATTCTACATATTTATATAAATGGAATTGTATGTCATGTAATTTTTTGTGCCTACCTTCTTTAACTAAGCCCAGACTTAGAGATTAACATGTTTTAGCATTTATTAGTAGTTTGCTCCATCTGACTGCTGAGTAATTTTCATCATATGAATGTATGTGTATTCCACTACAGTTATAACACTGATTAGTTTTCACGGGGTTTGAATAAGGGTATTGTCATCATTGCCAAATGAAGAGCATGAAAAGGGAACAGTGAAACTGAGGATATTGTTGTAGAAGTAGGCAAGGGAAGGGTAGCAGAGGAGTAGGTAGTACTTGGTTAGCACACGAAGTGTAAGGTAGAAAACTGGAAGGAGTTCTAGAGTACTATAACTTAGTAATATGATTACAGTTGGTGACAATTGAATGAATAGTTCAAAATAGCTAGCAAAGAGGATTTCAGATGTGCACAACACGAAGTACTGATAAATGTTTACAATGGTGGATATGTTTATTGCCCTGATTTGATCATTAGATATGTTCTCTCAGCACTTCTGTGTGTTTTACAAGTCCTCCAGAACATTGTGACACATACACTTAAGTTTGAAAACAACCAGATTATACTAGATTTTATGGACATTGTCAAATTGCTAATTTCAAATAGCCAAAAGCAGAGCCCAATATTTCATACCCCAGAGATTCAGATGTAGATTCAAAGATTACTGATAGTTGGAGCCAGCAGGTGGCGTGGTGGTTAAGGGTCCTGGACTTGAGCATGGCTGGACCTGGTGGCTTGGTTTCTCACTCCCCCCACCCCACTCTGTCTCTCTCTGGTCAAAATAAAATAAACAAATAAATAAGAATCAATAAAGTTAGATAAAATTATTCTAAAAAAAAGATTACTGGGACCAGCCATTAGTGTAATGGCTATGTTGCTGGACTCCCATGTAGTCGACCGCGGTTTGAGTCTCAGACACTGTGGCTTAAACTCACGCCGGGTGCGTGTGCGTGCATGCCCAAGATCCCGAGAGGAGAATGCAGGAGAAGGGATTACAACGTGGCTATCCCCCCAGGGGGTGATTTCTCGCTTTCTGTCTCTCTGTCTCTTTCGGGTGGACAGTTGCCCAAAGAAAAAAAAAAAAAAAAAAAAACCCTCTCCATAAAAAAAAAAAAAGATTACTGATAGTCACATACCTTAAACACATGTTCAGACCTATATAACTTATTTATTTTTAGGTTTAGGCATAAGCCATGTGCACTCATTGGAGAGAGACAAAGAGAGAAAGACAGAGGGAGAAAGTGAGAAATCTACATACACACACACACGGAGTGGTTGGCCACACAGCAATCCCTTCTCCTCCATTCTCTTCCTGAGGATTTTGAGCACACACACACGTATTGGGCATGAATTTCAAGCTGCCAACTCTGGGACTCAAACTGTGGTTGGCCATTTAGGTGTCCAGCGCCTTAACCAATATGCCACCTGCTAACTCTGAGGCCTATATAATTAAAAGGAGAATTAATAATCTACTGGCTGGATAACAGATGATGCAGGAAGACTTGTAAAACACAGATTCTGGTTCCGACCACTTGAGTTTAGTCAGTCTTGGGCAGAACCTGAACATGTGTGTTTCTAACAAGGTCCTGGGTGGTCTCATTTTGAGGATTCAAGGAACTGGTCTTGCCTTCCAATTCTGTCTCTGTTAAGAAGGACAAGAAGATGGAAGCTTAGAAGAAACAGGAAAAAATCTAGGCTAAAAGTGAAAGACTGTATTTATTCACAGTCATAGAACAATGGAACAGTGTAAATTATACAAGGTTGTCATTGTCTGGGAACAAAGCTCTTCTCTAACTAACAGTGACAACTTACATTTGAGAAATGCTGAGAGAGCTTATCTATCACACTTGTTTTCATTTTTAAAGTTTATGATCATTCTTAAAACAACATCTTTTCCGGTCCATTTTCTATCATAATTTGTTTTGTGAAGATTACTGACTTATTAAAAGATAGTCACAATGAAATGACATTTCAAGAAATAATCTCCCCAAAGTTGGTTAATTTATTAAAGATAAATTTCAAGTATTCACTTAGACTAAAAAAAATTTTTTTCTGAAATCAAATTGGTTAATGACTTTGTATAGCTACAGTTAAAATACAATAAAGGACTAGCAGTTAGCGTAATGGTTATGTCACTGGACTCCCATGTAGTCGATTGTGGTATGAGTCCCAGACCCAGTGGCTTAAACTCACACTGGGCGTACGTGTGTGCGTGCCCAAGATCCAGAGAGGATAATGGAGGAGAAGGGATTGTGGCGGGCCACCCCACCGGTGGATGATTTCTCGCTTTCTGTCTCTTTGTCTCTGTCTGTCTTTCTGACAAGCGCAAGCACCCTACAGCAAAAACCTCTCCAAAAACGAAATTTTAAATCAGACATATAAGAAGACTTCAAAAAGTTTGTGCAGGGACCAGCAGATGGCGTAATGGTTATGCCTCTGAATTCTCATATAGTCAACCACCGTTTGAGTTCCAGATGTGGTGACTTAAAACTTACACTGGGTGCATGTGTGTGTGTGTCCAAAATCCCAAGAGGAGAATGGATTGCAGCCTGACCATCTCCCCTGGGGGAGTGATATCTCGTTTTCTTTCTCTCTGTCTCTCCAGCAAGCATACACACCCTATAGCAAAAATCTCTCTTAAAAAAAAAAAAAGTTTGTAGGAAAATGGACAAACTTGTTTCGGTGCAAAATAAAAATTGAAATCCATACATAGTTTGTTTTCATAATTTGCATTTTCTATAAACTTTTTGAAGACCCCTTGTATAGTTCTATATCATTAATAGCACATTAAGATGGTATTGATCTTAGGAAGAAATAGAGCTGAAAGTAATCCCTTCACAGAAGCAAAAATTCCAATGTCACCTTCTCAATAAGGTTTTCCTTATTTTATTTGCAATTACACCCATTTGAGTGCCAGTTCACTGTTTGCCTACTCTATTTAAACTTCTACATTTTTTCTCTACATCACTTATGAGCTTTTAATATACTATATAATTTGCTTAGTTACTAAATTTAGTTTTTATCAACTCTTGCTCCCCTCCATATTAATGTATGATTTTGTTAATGTATGATTAATTATGATATTATTCATGTATAATTAATGAATGATTTCTTATATTATTTAGAATACTGCCTAGCACATATTAATAGATCTCCAACAGATTTGTCAAATGAATCTTAGAGTCAGCTTGGAAATAATTCTGTTTCAGTATCTGGTATAAATTAGCTGTGTATATGCGATGAGAAACATGGTCAAAAAGGAAAACTAAACAAAATTCTTGGGTGTTGGAAATCACCGGGGACCAGGCTTCACCCTGGGTTTCATGAAAACTTTCCAAGGACAGGCATGGGATCATTTTATGGCAATCAGTTTCCCAACTGCTAGTTACTCAGTGTACTTTTTTATGGAATTGAGAACTAGCCTTTAGTGTAGTCCTGATGGCACCTTGTCCTCACTTCCTCATTTATAATCACTTCTCTTTTATTTTACAAATGAAAGACATCTTTCACTCATCCTAAAATACAATACAAAGCATTTCTCTGAGTTGAAAAAGTATCTGGGGCTCCAGGGAAGAGACAATTAGAAATATTGCTTTTAGTGTTAAGATAGTGAATGATTCTAATAGAATAACAAATCTTTTTGCTAGTCAGATGGCTTACAATTGAATAAAATTAAATATGACTCTAATGGAGTTTCCAGCTGATATCATTAAAAATAACTTGGATGATAGATCAGTATGTGGGTTGGGATTGTAACTTAAATAATTTAATGTAAATTTTATAACAAAATTCCCATCTACAATGTCTTGAAACTTAAGTGTAAAAATAAGATGTGAGAATATAGCTACTACTCATCTTTGGCTGATTCTACCAGTAATTTATTTACCCATAGATCCAGAAGTTAGTGCTTTCATGTCCTATTCATTGTTGTAAGTGATGTCTTTCTAATTAAATTTCATGCATATGTATTGCTGTGATTCAAATGTTTCCCCAAAATTTGTGTTTTGAAGTTCAATAAGCTTTTGTAATGGTATAAAGAGGGAGGTGACTTAATCTGATTATGGCATGGAATGGTAAGATCTTTGGGAGATGTAGGAATTGGATAAGGTCAGGAGGGTCAAGACCCTATGATCGACTCCTGGTAGCTCTATAAGACCAGCAGACACAAGGACATGCATGCCCTGCTCTCTTTCTGTCTTACCATGCAACACCACCTTAGTTCTCTACAAAGAATCCCCACAGAGGGCAGAAGATGGCATAGCGGTTACTTTGCTGGACTCCCACATGGCTAACTATGGTTTGAATCTTAGACCCAGTGGCTTGAAAATCACACCAGGTATGTGTACATGTGTGCCCAAAATCCTGGAATGAGAATGGAGAAGGGATTATGGTGTAGTCATCCCTTTGGGGACTGGGGAAGGTGTTTTTTCTCCCTCTCCCTCTCACTGTCTCTGTCACTCTCCAGTAAACACTTGTGCCCTACGCAAAAAAAAAAAAAAAAAAAAGAATCCCTACAAATCAGAAGACTCTTCTCAGATATGGCCCTTTGACCTTGAACCTCCAAAACCATGAACTAAATAAACCTCTAAATTTTATAAATTACTTAGTGCAGTACTCAGTTATTTTATTGATTTATTTATTTATTTTTGGAGAGGTTTTTGCTATAGGGCACGTGCACTCGCCAGAGAGACAGAGCCAGAGAGACAGAAAGCGAGAAATCACCCCCCAGGGGGGATGGTCATGCCGCAATCCCTTCTCCTCCATTCTCCTCTCAGGATCTTGGGCACACACGCACACGCGCCCAGCATGAGTTTTTAGCCACCGGGTCCGGGACGCGAACCGCAGTCCACTACGTGGGAGTCCAGCGACATAGCCATTACGCTAACTGCTGGTTCCCAGTACTCAGTTATTAAGCAACAGAGAATAGAGTAAAACATATATATGTAAATTTTCAAGATGTTCTTAGATTCTATGTGAAACTATTAACAATTATAATTTACTGCTGAAAATTTTTCTTAACATATATGATCTGTCACAGGAAGGATTTTTTAATTGTCAGAGAGTTCATGTGCTCACTAGAGACAGACAGAGAGAAGGAGAAAGCATTCCCCAGTGGGCCATGGTCATGTTGCAATTCTTTCTCCATTTCTTCATCCTTTCAGGACTTTGGGCACATGTACATACATGCTTGACATGTTTTCTAAGCCACTGGGACTGGAATTCAAACTGGTGGGCCATGTAGAATCTAGCTCACCTTAACCACTAGGCAATGCTGTTGGCCTAGAAGTATATATACTTTTAAATGTTTGATTTATGTACATATACATATTCAAGGAAAGTATGTTTTAAGACAGAGTCTCAGTGTGTTATGATCCTCCTACCTCAGCCTCCCTGCTTGCTGGGATACAGACACATGCCACTACACCCAGCTCTTCAGACAGGGTCCCAGGAGGACTTGTGTTGCCCAAGCCCGTCTCGAGCACAAGATCCTCCCACCTCAGCCTCTCTAGTTGCTGAGATTTCAAGTGCCAGCCGCTGCACCTGGCATTTAGGAATCAAACCCAGGCCTCACGTGGGCCTGGCTGGTAGAACACAGCATCTTTATAGCACATACCACTGTACTGGGCCTTATTTAAGAAAAATTGACAGTGCTTAATGAAAGAATCTCATGCATAGCCAGATTTTAGGTAATAGACTCTGACATGGAATTTAGTGTGCTGTATGGTAATTAACTATTCTCTTGGGTCAACACCTATGGCAGGAGAGGAATGAGACTAGATTAGGTAGAGGGAGGAGCTCGTTGCAATGTCAGCTAAAGGACAGCCTTGACTGAGCTCATGGGGAGTTCCAGAGCAGCCCATAATCATCCTAGGTTGGACTTAGAAGGCCAGGTCATCCTACTCTCACATTAGACAGTCATTTATGTGTGGCATCCTAAGGAAGGAAATGACCTTGAGCAGGCCGACTGTCTGCAGCTGAAGCAATCCCTGAAGGGACTAACAGCTGACCATTGTCTGCAGAGAGCTTTCCAATTGCAGAAAGAAGTCCTTCATTGAAGGGGCATCTAGCCTGCATTCCACAGTGTCTAGCACAAATAGATTTTACCTTAGAGTAAAATGTTGTGGGGGGAGGGGACAAAATACAAGTATAAGGAGAAAAATAAATGATAAAATTTTGACTGTAGGGAAGAGCATGTTCATGTACTTTTTTTTTTTTTTTGAGAAGTTTTTGCTATGGGGCATGTGCACTTGCCAGGAAGACAGAGAGACAGAGAGACAGAAAGTAAGAAATCACCCCCCACTCAGGGGGGATGGCCATGCCACAATCCCTTCTCCTCCATTCTCCTCTCGGGATCTTGGACACGCACGCACATACGCCTGACATGAGTTTAAGCCACTGGGTCTGTGTCTCGAACTGTGGTTAACTACATGGAGTCCAGTGACATAGCTGTTATGCCAACTGCTGATCCCCATGTTTATGTACTTTTTAAATGCATGATGCTGAACATCAGGTAAGTATAGTATTTACTTTTCTTTAGATACATATGAAAGCTTATATAAAATCAATTCTACAAAGTTAATATTTATAGTATGCTAGAAATTACATTTTTGTAGGTACTTAAATATGATAACTTGTATATGTCAATGTAAAATATATAAGGAGATACATTGATTTTCAAAATCAATTAAGGGACTAGGTAAGCAAAAAATGTTGGAAGATCACTGATCTAGGTTATTAGGAAAGTCATGAAGAATTTTTCTATGCAAAAATGTGTTATGACTTTCCCAATGACCCAATAATTGAATGGGGCATTTTCCAGATGAGAATATTGATACTCAGAGATGTCATAAAGACTTACGGATGATCATATGAATGATTGAAAACAGATCATAAAATAGTGGTAATTTCTGTTAGTTGTGAAGAACCATTAAGCTACTATTTGTGAATACACTCTAAAGAGAGTAAAGCTCTCATCAAGGACTTTTTTTTTTTCCACCATATATTTTTCATTGCCAGGTGGCACATGTGGTCTCTAGAGTGAGGGAGAGAGAGAAATCGCCCACAGTGAGGCGTGGTGCATGGGACCTGATCACACCTCAATCCTTTTATCTCCATTTCTCCACTCCATCTTGATTTGGGGCATGCACACACACACGCAGACTCATTCAGTGTGTATTCTGGCCACCAGCGCTGGGATTAGAACCATAGCTGGCCATTTGGGATCTGGCTTTCAACGCATAGCACTTAACCACTGCACTACAAAGTTGGCCCTCATCAAGGGGTTTTTAACCTACAGCGCCTGGAACCCTTCAGATTGCATACAGTGATGTGTATTTGCATGTTTCTGGCGAGCTCTTTTATATATAGCTTTATAGCCACTAAATAGAAAACATAAACAATATGCCCACAGCACAGAATCTGCCTGATCTCAACTGAATAGAATTTAACACGTTTCTAACCTATCTCACTACTCTCTCAATACAAATTTGTTTCTCCCTTGAATGTCATTTGAGTCTCTTGTGTTTCTGACCCTTTTGTACAATCTTACCTCTTCCCTCTTTCAAAGATGTCCATGAGTCCTCATACAGAGAAACGTCCTTATGTGATATCTTACAGTAATTTACTCCCTGTCTTCACAGGGTGATCTAGTGTATGTGAACTATGCACGAACTGAAGACTTCTTTAAACTAGAGCGGGACATGAAAATCAATTGCTCTGGGAAGATTGTGATTGCCAGATATGGAAAAGTTTTCAGAGGAAATAAGGTAAAACAAAGCAAAACATCTTTTTCCTTTCTTTGCAATATAAAAAGTTATACTGCATCTTACATAAATAGAACCATTGCCTTAAAACCGGAAGGACCACGTTCCTCTTGTATTCTGTAACATGCTGCCTTTCAGGGAGGACACATTTTCTAGTTTATAGGCAGAATATTTTAACTGGGTCATTTGGGATTTGGCAAATGTTGGTCTGGAGAAAAGAACAGATTTTTCTGTACCAACCAAGCCATGCCTGTTGCCTACAAAGAAAGCAGACACTAGGTTTGTTGTTAGCTTCCAACAACTTGTTTTAAATATTATCTAAAACTATTTTCTAAGCTACATTTTAATACTAATTCTTAGAGATAAAACTAAAACTATTTTCTAAGCTACATTTTAATATTTATTCTTAGAGATGAGAAAAAACTATTTATATATATATAATATTTTTTAAATGATTATTACTTAATTGTTCATATCTTTTTTTTCCTCCATGGGAAATTAAATTGTCCAAGTATTTCCTTTCAGCCATAAAACAAAGAGGAGTCTGGCCTGTGGAGTCTATTTGTTTATTGTGGTTGTTTAGTGGGAGGAAAGGGCCAGTACTAGCTGCTGCTATTATGGAAATTTTCCAGATCTGCTCTGAGGGCTGATTCATTGTTAGAGCTTGTAATAGGAAAAAGTAAAAGCCAGTTCTCTTGCAATGTCCTTTGTTGTAAATCTAACAATAAAAGGTTGAAGGTGAAGCTCAACTACTCATTAAAGTGAATTCCAGCAATCGGTATGACCAAGTCTGAAACAACCAACGTAAAATAAAAAAAGAAAGATACTATTTTCCAGGTTAAAAATGCCCAGCTGGCAGGGGCTAAAGGGGTCATCCTGTACTCAGACCCTGCAGACTACTTTGCTCCAGGGGTGGAGTCCTACCCAGATGGTTGGAATCTTCCTGGAGGTGGTGTCCAGCGAGGAAATATCTTAAATCTTAACGGTGCAGGGGACCCTCTCACACCAGGTTACCCAGCAAATGGTGAGTAATCAGTCCTCAATCATCACAACAAATGTAATAGTTTTTAAAAGTTTGCTAAAGAGGTGTGTACTCTCAGCAGGCAAGCAGGGAGTCAGGTTGGAGGAAAAAGAAAGAAATCAAGAGGATGCCACACTGTTAATCCCTTCTCTTCTATTCTCCTTTTGGGATTTTGCGCATGCACCACACACCTGGAGTGTTTTTTTTTTTTTTTTTTTTTTTTTTGGAGAGGTTTTCGCTATAGGGCGTGTGCACTCGCCAGACAGAGAGACAGAAAGCAAGAAATCACCCCCCCGGGGGGATGGTCATGCCGCAATCCCTTCTCCTCCATTCTCCTCTCAGGATCTTGGGCACGCACGCACACGTGCCTGGCGTGAGTTTTAAGCCACCGGGTCCGGAACTCGAACCGCGGTCGACTACATGGGAGTCCAGCGACATAGCCACTATGCTAACTGCTGGTTCCCACACCTGGAGTGCTTTTCAAGCTGCTCGATCCAGGACTCTAATTTAGCAGTTGGCCATGTGGGATCCATGCTATACAAAGATAATGGTGATAGCTATCAAGAAGTGTTGTTAAGCATTAAGAAGCCTATAAACTAGGTGGTATTATCATCTCTATTTGACAGGAGAGGAAAACAAGACTAGCAGAAATATAAACACTCTTCCCAAGATCACCATACCACTAGTGAGGAGCTGGGGTTCAAGTTTAGACAGTTCAGCTCCCCAAGTCCACTTATCTTACACAGAGAGGCCTCCCATGAAACATTAACAGCAGGAGCTAATTTATTTTGAATGTTCTTAGTTATTTAATGATATTTATAAAAATCTATGATCATTTAGTTTGTGTAGTTTAAAACTAATAATTTATGTAGTCTGGAAAGATTGTTTGCTGGAGTATCTGTGGCTCTTACATACCTACTCTTCATTTAGTTTTGCCCTAAAATTGTAGACCCCTCTAAAGTTTATGTAATGTTTTGGCTTTGTAAATCTTCTTACAACATCGTATATTGTCATAGTTTTTATTTTATCCCCCTATAATAAAATCCATGAATCTATCCAAGTTTTATACACTTAATTTACCTTTTTTATTCTCATTTAAAAAAAAATACAACTTCTTCTAAGCTCTTAGTTGTACAAAGCTAAAATTTTGAAAATAAAATTAGATGAACCGAATTAATTGCTTTCTGATCTCTAGCACCACATATTGGGTCATTGGAAAAGTCATGATGCATTTTTGCATAGAAAAACAGAAAAATGTCATGACTCTTCTGGAAACCCAATAGTAGCTTGCCTGGTTTTGAATTTCATATACATAAAATCTGCTCTATATTCTCTTGTGCCCGACTTATTGATTGCACTCAATGTAATGATGTGAGATTTTTTTCATCTTCTTGTGAGTCTTAGGAGTTTGTGCCTTTTACTTACTGAGTAGCGTTCCATTGTGGGCTATAATGAAGAAGGTTTATTTATTCTCCTGTGGTCCTACATTGTTTCTAATATCTGTCTAGTATAAATGTGGCTGCTATACACAATTTAGTACTGGTTTTCAGTGGACGTATGTTTTCGTCTTTCTTTCTTTTTTTTTTTTTTTGGAGAGATTTTTGCCATAGGGCACGTGTGCTCACCAGGCAGACAGAGAGAGACATAGAGACAGAAAGCAAGAAATCACTCCCCAGAGGGGATGGTCATGCCACAATCCCTTCTCCTCCATTCTCCTCCCGGGATCTTGGACACGCACGCACACACGCCCGGCATGAGTTTTAAGCCACCGGGTTCGGGACACGAACCGCGGTCGACTATGTGGGAGTCCAGCGACATAGCCATTACACTAACTGCTGTTTCCCTGTTTTCGTCTTTCTTGAGACTACCTGGGAGTGGACTTGTACATTTCTTAACATGACTTTTCCAAAGTTATAATTATAAGTTATAATTTAGTATCTCAGAAGCAATGTATGAAAGTTTCAGTAGCACTATATTCTTACTAGCATTTGGAATTGCCTATCCTTTTTATTTTAACAATTCTAGGAGATGTGAAAAGAGAATGTATTTATGTGATTTAAAGAACCATTGGGAAAGGACTGCATTTTTATTTGAAGTATGCTAATTTTTTTCCCCAGAATATGCTTATAGGCATGAGATTACAGAGGCCATCGGTCTCCCAAGTATTCCTGTTCATCCAATTGGTTACTACGATGCCCAGAAACTCCTAGAGTAAGTTTGTTGGAAACAAATGGATAACTATTTGGGTTCATTCTCATTATTAGTCATTTTCAAATGGTAAACTTTTTATCTCCATGATTTGGTACTGAAATTCTCTGGGGTGGGGGGGGATGTGCAATTTTATCATGATTTTATAGAATGGCGATTCTATTTTGGGTTCCCCCCCCCTTTTTTTTTTACTATTATCCAGTGTGTGACAGCCATGAAAATGAGTTTTTGATCTCTAACTATAGGGTGAGTCATTTATCAATCGCTTCAGCAGCAATTGTGCTTTGAAACCCATCACCCTGCTTGTGTTTGGCTGTAGCTCCCATAGGTGTTCCCAGCCAGTGACTGAGCATTCCTGAGAGGCTTAGGGCTCCTCCGATGTGAGTCTTTTCTCAAGCCTAGCTTGAAGAGATGCTGCCACCCAAAGCTCAACCGCACACTTAACAATTGCACATTATGTAATGTCTCTACACCTCATGCAGTTCATCTGTGAAGTGGGAGTAACAGCATATTGTAAGAGTTATCTTGAGAATTAAATGCTGTAGGACGTGCAAAGCATTTTGTACTTTCTCTGACTCATTAAGTCCTGTTATGAGTAGACACTGAAGAAAGCTAATTCACTGACGTCACTTGTTACTTCACAGTTTCCTTTCAGCTAACAATATTTTTGTGTGTCCAACAGGAAAATGGGTGGCTCAGCACCACCAGATATTAGCTGGAAAGGAAGTCTCAAAGTACCCTACAACATTGGACCTGGTTTTACTGAAGAATTTTCTACACAGTTAAGAGGCTATTATAATTTTTATCCTTGTTTGGGACACCTTTCTTTTTCCTATAAAAAGAAAATAATTATAGAGGATGATAGAGAAAGCAAAATCTACCTTGTATCATCAGGAAAACCACATATTAAAAAGGGGATTATTCTTATTGGCTCATACAATTTTTGCCTCTATATATAATTAGAAATCTTTTAAACAGCAAGTGGTGTGGTGGTTAAAGTGCTGGACTCCCACAAGGCAGACCACAGTTCAAGTCCCATATGTGGTGGCTTGAAAATCATGCCAGGCATGTTGCATGCATGCCCAAAATTCTGAGGGGAGAGTGCAGGACAAGGGACTACAGTATGGCCGTCTCTTCTGGGAGTAGGGGGTGATTTCTCACTTTCTCTTTCTCTCTTTGTTTTTTTTTTTCTGGCAATCTCAAGCACCCTATGGCAAAAAATCTAAAAAAAAAAAAAAAAGAGAAAGAAAAAACAAAAACAACTTTTTTTTTTTTTTTTTAATTTTTTTTATCATCATAATCTTCTTTATATTACATTGGATTACATATAACTTTACATTGTATTACATTGTTTTTTCAAAAGGGAATGCCATGCATGTCAGTCAGTACAGAGACATTAATCTCCCCACTTCAACATTCCATATCTTTTCTGTTTTCCCCAATCATTATTTTTATTATTCTAATTATTTTTATAAAACAGTCAATTGTTATTTCTCGTTTTGCTTGTAAAAATACTTTGCCCATCATGAAATACTTCTCAGACCAATCCAGTTGAGAATACTATACATGTCATCATCAACAGTTAATAACCCCTATCTGTTTCTCACTAACGTCCTGTCTCTCTATTGTTCACTTGCTATCTTTCTCTATCCTCTTCTCTTCACTTACCCCATTCCACACTGTCCTATTCTCATTAAGTACCTTCACTGTGTTTATGTCCTCCGAATTTTTGCTCTCTATTATAGAGTGCGGATAGTCGGTATATATTGAGTGGATACATACAATATCTTTCTTTCATAGCCTGGCTTACTTCACTCAGCAATAGATCCTCCATATCTGACCATTTTCTATCAAATTCCAGGGTCTTGTTATTTTTTATGGCTGAGTAGTATTCCATAGAGTATATATACCACACTTTTCCAATCCATTCATCAGTTTGTGGACATTTAGGTTGGTTCCATGTCTTGGCAATTGTGAATAATGCTGCAATAAACATGGATGTGCAAGCACTTTTCTGACTGAGCGTTCTCCTGTCTTTTGGGTAAATACCCAGAAGTGGGATTGCTGGATCAAATGGTAGTTCTATTTGTAGATCTTTGAGGAACCTCCATATTGTTCTCCACAGTGGTTGAACTAGTTTACATTCCCACCAACAGTGTAGGAGGGTTCCCTTTTCACCACATCCCCGCCAACACTTATCACTTTTTATATTCTTAATCTTTGCCATTCTGACAGGGGTTAGGTGGTATCTCATTGTGGTTTTTATCTGCATTTCCCTTATGATGAGGGATGTCGAGCATTTCCTCATATGCTTTTTGGCTGTTCGTATGTCTTCCTTAGAGAGACTTTTGTTCAGCTCACTTTCCCATCTTTTAATCGGGTTAATCATTTTTTTTCGCATAAGGCACTTGAGTTCCCTATGTATTCTCGTTATCAGTCCCTTGTCTGAGGCATATTTAACAAAAATATTTTCCCATTCTGAGGGTTGTCGGTTCACACTTGTTACTGTGTCCTTTGCTGTGCAGAAACTTCTTAGTCTAATATAGTCCCACTTGTCTATTTTAGGGATTATTGCCTGTGCTTTGGGAGTCTTATTTAAGAAGTCTTTGCCTACTCCAATGTCTCCCAGAGTTTCCCCAGCATTTTCCACAAGTAGTTTTATTGTCTGAGGTCTTAGGTTCAGATCTTTGATCCATTTTGAGTTGACTGTTGTTAATGGTGAAAGATGGGGGTTCAGTTTCATCTTTCTGCAGGTGGATACCCAGTTTTTCCAGCACCATTTACTAAAGAGGTTTTCCTTTTCCCAATGGATTGACTGATATCCTTTGTCAAAGATCAGTTGGCTATAAGCTTTGGGAGTTATTTCTGGGGTCTCTATTCTCTTCCATTGGTCCACATGTCTGTTTTTATGCCAATACCATGCTGTTTTGATGACCACAGCTTTATAGTATATCTTGGGATCAGGGAGTGATATGCCTCCTACTCCATTCTTCTTACGCAGGATTGCTTTTGCAATACGAGGTCTTTTATGGTTCCAGACAAATTCTATAATTGTCTTTTCTAGATCTCTGAAGAATATCTCTGGTATTTTGATTGGAATTGCATTAAACATGTAGATTAATTTGGGTAGAATTGCCATTTTGATTATGTTAATTCTACCAATCCAGGAGCATGGGATGTCCTTCCACTTTTTTATGTCACTTTCAATGTCTTTTTTAAGATTCTCGTAGTTTTCTTTATAAAGGTCTTTGACTTTCTTAGTTAGGTTTATCCCTAGATATCTTATACATCTTGTGGCTATGGTGAAAGGGATTCCTTTCTTCAGCTCTGCTTCATTCAACTTGTTGTTCATAAATAGAAATGCTATAGATTTTTGGATATTGATTTTGTATCCTGCCACCTTACTGTATTCACTTATTACTTCAAGCAGTTTTTTCATGGATACCTTTGGGTCTTCTAAGTATACCATCATGTCATCTGCAAATAAAGATATTTTCAACTCTTCTTTGCCTATTCGAATGCCTTTAATACTGTTCTCTTCTCTGATTGCAATAGCTAAGACTTCCAGTACTATATTAAAGAGCAGTGGAGAAAGTGGGCAGCCTTGCCTAGTACCTGTTTTCAGAGGAAAAGCTTTCAGCTTTTCCCCATTCAGTATAATATTAGCTGTAGGTTTTTCATAGATTGCTTTTATTGTGTTCAGAAATGACCCTTCTATACCAATCTTACTGAGAGTCTTAATCATAAAAGGATGTTGTATTTTATCAAACGCTTTCTCCGCATCAATTGAGATGATCATATGGTTTTTATCTTTCTTTCTGTTAATGTGGTGTATTACATTTATGGTCTTGCGTATATTGAACCACCCTTGCATCCCTGGTATAAAGCCTACCTGGTCGTGATGAATGATCTTTGTTATATGTTGTTGGATACGATTTGCGAGTATCTTGTTGAGAATTTTCGCATCTATATTCATCAATGATATTGGTCTGTAGTTTTCCTTTTTTGTCATATCCTTATCTGTTTTGGGGATGAGGATGATGGAGGCTTCATAAAATGAATTTGGAAGGTTTCCTTCCTTTTGAATCTTTAGAAATAATTTTAGTAAGATAGGGGTTAATTCTTCCTTGAAAGTTTTGTAGAATTCACAAGTGAAGCCATCTGGGCCTGGGCTTTTCTTTGTTGGGAGATTATTAATTACTGATTCAATCTCCTGGCTTGTTATAGGTCTATTCAGATTCTCTATGTCTTCCTGATCCAATCTTGGTAGTTTATATGCATCCAGGAATTTGTCCATCTCCTCCAGGTTATCTTGTTTGTTGGCGTAAAGTCGCTCATAGTATCCTCTAATGATATTATGTATTTCTGCTATGTCCGTGGTAATATTGCCTGTTTCATCACATATTTGATTAATCTGGTTTCTTTCTTTCTTCTTCTTGATCAGTCTAGCCAATGGAGTATCGATCTTGTTGATCTTTTCAAAGAACCAGCTTTTGCTTTCATTTATTTTCTGTATGGTTCGTTTATTTTCTATTTCATTTATTTCTGCTCGAACCTTTATTATTTCTTTTCGCCTGGCATTTTGGGGGTTCGTTTGTTGTTGTTTTTCCAGTTCTCTGAGGCATGATGATAAGTTATCTACTTGCCATCTTTCCATCCTTTTCTTATGTGCACTAATTGCTATGAATTTCCCTCTTATGACTGCTTTTGCTGTGTCCCATAGGTTCTGGACACTTGTGTCCTCATTATCATTTGTTTCCATAAATTTGTTTATTTCAGCCTTAATTTCTTCAGTAGTGAAGAAGTCATTCAGAAGTAGGTTGTTCAGTTTCCATGTGTTCGTGTGTTTTCGGGGTTGTTTCTTGAAATTAATCTTGAGTTTAATTCCATCATGGTCAGAGAAGATGCTGGGTACAGTTTCTATGCCTTTGAATCTGTAAAGGCTTGATTTGTGTCCTAATATATGATCTATCTTTGAAAAGGTTCCATGTCGGGGTGAGAAAAATGTATATGTTGTGGATGTAGGGTGGAAAGTTCTATAGATATCTGTCAAGCCCATTCCATTTATAGTATCATTTAAGTCCTGTATCTCTCTATTTATTTTCTGTCTAGAAGATCTGTCTATAGGAGATAACGGGGTGTTGAGATCTCCAACAATTATAGTATTTTTCCCTATGTCTCCTTTTAGCTCCAGCAGTCTTTCCTTCACATATTTAGGCGCACCTGAGTTGGGTGCGTAGATATTTATAAGGGTTATATCTTCTTGCTGGATTACCCCATCTACTATTATATAATGCCCTTCTTTGTCTCTTCTTACAGTCTTTGTTTTAAAATCTATTTTGTCTGAGATCAATATCGCTACTCCAGCCTTTTTCTGATTTCCATTTGCATGGAATATCTTTTTCCAGCCCTTGACTTTTAGTCTATGTATATCTTTATCCATAAAGTGAGTTTCTTGTAGGCAACAGATAGAGGGTTTCTGTTTTCTTATCCATTCAGCTAGTCTATGTCTCTTAACTGGGGAATTTAATCCATTGACATTCAATGTAATTATCGATATTTCCATACCTGATCCTATCATTAAGTGAGCCATTTTCTTAGTTGTTTTTTGTTCTCGTATAACTGTCTCTGATTTTTTAGTTTTCCTGGTATAGTACTCCCTTCAAAACCTCTTGAAGAGCTGGTCTGGTGTTGGTAAATTCCTTCAAATTTTGTTTATTTGAGAATGTTTTTATCTTTTTTTCCCATATAAAAGATAATTTTGCCGGGTATAGTATTCTTGGTTGAAATTGTTTTTCACTCAACACTTTGACTATGCTTCCCCATTCTTTCCTTTCCTGCATTGTTTCTGCTGAGAGATCCGATGTTAGCCTGATGGGGTGACCTTTGTAAGTAACCTGGCGTTTCCCTCTTGCCAACTTTAGTATCTTGTCTTTATCTGTTGTTTTTGCCAGTCTGGCTATGATGTGCCTTGGAGATGATCTTCTTGGGTTGATTCTACTTGGGGTCCTCTGTATTTCTTGGGTCTGGATATTTGAATGCCTTTCTAGATTTGGAAAGTTTTCTTCCAGGATCTCATGGAATAAATTTTCCAGGCCCTTATTATTTTCTTCCTCCTCCGGAATACCAATTATCCGAATGTTGGGGCGCTTGATGGTGTCCAGTATTCCTCGTATATTATCCTCATTTTTCATGGTTGTTTTCTCAATCTTCTTGATACTTTTATCTAGGTCAGATGTTTTGTCTTCTACGTTAGAGATTCGGTCTTCTGCCTGGTCTAACCTACATTTAATGCTTTCAAGGGAGGTTTTGATTTCCTCTATCACATTCTTCAAACCTAGAAGTTCCATCTGGTTCTTGTTTAGGGTATCCATTTCTTCTTTCAAGTCATTAAAGGACTTCCTCATCTCCTGGAGCTCCTTGTCTCTTTTCTCTTCCATCTCAGTTAGTTTGGTCACTACAAATATTCTGAATTCCTTATCAGACATGTCCACGACGTCCATTGTATTGACTGTGGGTGATGTAGGATTGATGATTTCCCTTGACGGAGAGGCCTTTTGTTGGTTGCTCATATTTCTTGAGCCTTTGCGATTGTTTTTAGTCATCAGGTAATCTATATGTTTCTTGCCAACTTATTTCAGGTATCTCTGATTCTTAAAAGTTGTACAGGCTTAGAAGATTGATGATTTCTCTTATGGTTGGCCTACCTATTACTCACAATTACCATTAACTGTTGCCACTAGCCCTGGAAGGCCCAAAGTGCTCGCTGTTTCTAAGGAGTAGTGAGCCTTCAACTGACCAAACAAGCAACACCCCAAGAGCAAAGAAAAACAAAATGGAAAAAGAAAATCGCGCGCCGCGCGCTACTCAACTCACCAAAATTCAAACACTCCAAAGGCTAGTGGAAATGGATCAGACAATGAATGACAGTACCAGGTTGGTCGGGCCTGCAGCCTCAGTCCGCCTGGTGTCCGGAACTGCTGGCCGGCTCGATCCGGGTTTCGGGTGGGGAGGGGTGTGGGTTCGCCTTAAAGTCCCAGGCAACCAACCTGGAGTCCAAGGAGGAAGGATGGTGGGGATACGTGGAGTTGCGGTAGGGTCGGGCCTGCAGCCTCAGTCCGCCTGGGGTCCGGAACTGCTGGCCGGCTCGATCCGGGTTTCGGGTGGGGAGGGGTGTGGGTTCGCCTTAAAGTCCCAGGCAACCAACCTGGAGTCCAAGGAGGAAGGATGGTGGGGATACGTGGAGTTGCGGTAGGGTCGGGCCTGCAGCCTCAGTCCGCCTGGGGTCCGGAACTGCTGGCCGGCTCGATCCGGGTTTCGGGTGGGGAGGGGTGTGGGTTCGCCTTAAAGTCCCAGGCAACCAACCTGGAGTCCAAGGAGGAAGGATGGTGGGGATACGTGGAGTTGCGGTAGGGTCGGGCCTGCAGCCTCAGTCCGCCTGGGGTCCGGAACTGCTGGCCGGCTCGATCCGGGTTTCGGGTGGGGAGGGGTGTGGGTTCGCCTTAAAGTCCCAGGCAACCAACCTGGAGTCCAAGGAGGAAGGATGGTGGGGATACGTGGAGCTGCGGTAGGGTCGGGCCTGCAGCCTCAGTCCGCCTGGGGTCCGGAACTGCTCAAAACAACTTTTAAACAATGATGAAAGATACAAAAATTTTGAATGCTTATCTGTTTGACTAGTTCACTTTTTTAGATTGCATTTTTTAAATAATTTTTCAAGAATGATTTATTTATTTAATTTCATTTGTTATTATTATTTTTTAATTTGACCAGAGAGATGCAAGGGTGCGGTGGGGGGAGAGAAAGCAAACCACCAGTTCTAGGACTTGAACCGTAGTCAGCCATGTGGGAATCCAGTGCCCTTAACTACCACGCCATCTGCCAGCCCCGTTTAGATTGCATTCTTTATTTTCACTTTAGGAAAGTCAAGATGCATATCCATTCCAACAGTGAAGTGACAAGAATTTACAATGTGATTGGCACTCTCAGAGGAGCGGTAGAACCAGGTAAATGAATAACTTGCCCACAAATACTGACTGAGAAAGCGTAGTTGAACTAAGAACTTGGTTTGGGAGGGGCGTCATACATTTAAGTGTGTGTCTGATAAATATTGTATCAGATGTGAGGAGGCTGCCCTGAGAGCTGGGTAGGCAGAGCAATCTTCTCTTCCTATGGAAAAGAGTGAAGATGGAGGTGGGACCAGGGTACCTGGTGGATAGACGTGGATAAGAATACTTCTATACTTTCCTGTAATTAGTTATATACTTATAATTACATGAACTATGCACTTGTTTGATCACATTTGCATATTCTTCAGACAGAGGAAACCTCTATTAAAGTCAGAACTACTACATGTGATCAAGTCTTCAGGGGCCCCACTATTCTTTGAATCATGAGTGTTCTGCACTCAGAGGCTATTGCATCCTTTGCAGTTTGCTCCCTTATTGACCTGAAATGACAAATTACCTTGCGATGATGCTTTCTAGACAGATATGTCATTCTTGGAGGTCACCGAGACTCATGGGTATTTGGTGGCATTGATCCTCAGAGTGGAGCAGCTGTTGTTCATGAAATCGTGAGAAGCTTTGGAACTCTGAAAAAGGAAGGTAATGTAGGTGAAGGGTAAAAAGGCCAACCTCAGGACCAGCATCTGGGGTAATGGATATGTTGCTAGATTCCCACATGGCCAACCTTGTTTTGAGTCCCAGACTTGGAGGCTTGAAATTCACACCAGGCACGTGTGCGTGCATGCCCAAAAATCCCAAGAGGAGAATAGAGGGCAGAGGACTGTGGTGTGACCATCTGCCCTGGGGGGAGGGGTGATTTCTTGCTTTCTTTCTCTGTCTCTTTGGCGAGCATACATGCCCTACAGCAAAAAATCTATCAAAAAAAAAAAAATGCCAGTTCAATCTACCATGTGGTGGTAAAAACACAGCGACAACCATTTATGTTGTTTAATTATATTGTTTATCTTTGCATTTATTTATGTAATATTATATTATTGATAAGTGTATATGAAATAATAATCTGAAATAAAGAGATTATACTGTTCTTGGTTGATCTTGACACTGACGATGATGACGACAGCTACTTCAGTGGAGAGTGCACACCAGCGTTAGTTCTAAGCCCAAGCCTACTGGTCAGAGAACTGTGAGCAGCTGTTCCTCAGGCACTTGCAGCCTCATACCCCAGGCCGGGTGTACAAAGTAACTGAGGAAACAGAAGTTCTATGTGGGTAATATTGGTCTTGCTACTTGAAGGAATGCTGTCAAAAGTTTGATGTCTGTATTCTTACACCTCCAGCCCTGATTTGCTCTCTTAGAAATTAGGTTTATAGTCTTATCACCATCACATTAGTCATTTTAGAATCTTCATACAAAATGAAAATAAAAGTTAACCCAAATAGTTGCTTTTTAAAGTAATCAATTATACACTGATAGTAAAAAAACTAAAGTTTAGAAAATCAAGTAGCTTGCCGGGGTTCTATAGCTAGTGTGTGGGAGAGTGAGAACACTAGGGCTCATACTCAAATCCCTGGTTACCAGTAAACAGAACCCTTATCTTTCAAATAAAATGTAGGACTGGCTGCAGAGTGCAGTGGTTGGGCTCTGTGCAGAAGAAACCTGATCCCACATGGCCAGTCAGGATTTGAGTCCCAGCCCTGGTGGTTTGAAAAACATGCCAAGTGCATGTGTGCATGCAGAGGATCCTGATGGGATCGAAAATTGGATTAAAAAGGATCGTGCTGCCCCAGGCCTTGTTAGGGAGTTCTTGCCTCTCTCTCTTTCTTCTCTCTCTTTCTTTCATGTATGCACATGCACCCTCTGGCATAAAAAATAATAAAAAATATAATAAAAGAAAATAATAAATAAATAAATTAATTAAATAATTAAAAATAATTAAATGCAAAGGTGCTTCCTCCATTCTTTTATCCACACAGTGACCATGATCGTGATGTATCTATATAGACATGATATGTATGTGTGTGTGTGTGTGTGTGGAGAGAGAGAGAGATTTGCTACAGGTCATGTGTGTTCACTGGAGAAACAGAGAGAGAGAGAGAGAGAGAGACAGAAAGGGAGAAATCACCCCCTGGGCGGGGGGTGTGGGGGGGAGGATGGCCATGCCACAATCCTTTCTCCTCTATTGTCCTCTCAGGATTTCGGGCACACTTACTTGGTACAAGTTTTAAGCCACCGGCTCTGAGACTCAAACTATGGGTGACTACATGGGTGTCCAACAATGTAACCATTACACCATCTGCTGGTCCTGGAGATCTTATGTTTTTAAAAAAAAAAAAAAAATCTAAAATTCTATAGTTTGGGAATTAGTGCTTAATCTTATTACAAAAAGTTTCATGATATTGCATGAAAATTCCTCTAGTAAATATAAAATATCCCTGTAGCAATTATAGCGTATGCCAAAAAAATAAGCCCGATGAGGATAATAACAAAGTGGACATTTGAGTAATACTATTAACAAGCTTAATGTAAACAAAACTCTGGACTCAACAGCTATAGGACACTTATTCTTAATAAGCAACATGAAATATTACTAAATAATGACAGCTTATAATTTTTGGAGCATATATTAAGTGCTTTATAAACACCATTTCATTTCATTCTTCCAAAAATCAAATGATGTCTTTATCCTATCATTTCTGATAAATAGGTAAATCAGTGGAGAATTGGTAAGTTTGGGTAACTGCTTCAGTCACACTGCTAGTGAAAGAACTAGGGTTTGAAACAAGATCTGTAATTCCAAGGACAGTGTTTGTAAGTTGCCCAGTCATACATCCTGCCTATCAAATCACGTATTACAGTTTCCAGTAGCAGTTGGAATTGCTGTTGCTCACTGAGCGCCTGTTGACTAATTTGGGCAGTGAATGGAGTGAAATCACACAAGCAGCTGACATCTAACAATTGTTCATGTGATTTCAGCACAACAGGGGAGCATTCTAAAAGATTTTCTCTGTTATATCTGCTCTCTGAACAATGATTGCATCTAGCAGTTTCTTCTTCACTGGAGGCAGCTGCAGACACAGTGGCTTCCTGTGCTTAGCCAGTCATTATTCACCTACAAGAATATTTTATGACCTTGCCTAATCTTATTTATGCCTACAGTTTCCCTTTCTCAGTACAACTGTGCTCTTTTGTAATGACAGTTAGCTTTACATTTTTATAAAAGGAGATTATATCAGGAAAAATTTGTTTTACAATTGGCCCTTCTTAAATAACCCATGGCATTTATTGTTTTGAGTTTGGTGGTATCTCGATATACTATGTACTTTTCCAACATTTATATACATATATACTCATATATTTTTAGGATGGAGGCCTAGAAGAACAGTTTTGTTTGCAAGCTGGGATGCAGAAGAATTTGGTCTTCTTGGTTCTACTGAATGGGCAGAGGTTAGCTGATCATTTTCTACAATGTAAATCATTGTAATGATATAGAAGTTAAGCTGTAATTCTCAAGCATGTAGAAATAACAAATGGATTCAGTGAGAAAATATTCCAAGTTTTTTATTTTTTCCAAAAATCTCTGGACCCCATCAGTTGCTATGTCACTGGACTCCCATGTAGTCAACCACCGTTTGAGTCCCGGACTCGGGGGATTAAACTCAAGCCAGGCACATGTGTGTGTGTGTGCCCAAGATCCCTAGAGGAGAATGGAGAATGTATTGCAGCATGGCCATCTCCCCAGGGGGCGATTTTTCGCTTTCTCTCTTTCTTTCTGGAGAGCACATGCACCCTATAGCAAAAACCTGTCAAAAAAAAAAATCTGAAATAAGTTATCTTTGTTCAAAAATCAATAATAAAAATTTGGGGTACTAAATATGTAAGTTTTGTTTGAATTTTTTAGTCACTTAATTTCAATTGTCAAAGTTAATTTATCTTCCCAGGGAGTATGACAGTAAATAAGTACATATTCTAGAAATCAATCATCAAAACTTGATTTAGTTATACTTTCCAAAATTACTTTTTTTTAAAAAAAAGAATTATTTAACTTTATTTATTTTAATTAATAGACAGATGGGGCCAGGGGTTGGGGGAGTGAGAAAGCAAGCCTCCAAGCCTGAGACTTGAACTGCAGTCACCCATGTGGGAATCCAGCATCTTAATTACCATGCCACCTGCTGGCCCCTGGAGTTGAAGTGTTCAGAAGAAAAATTTATGCTGGTGTCAAGAAAAGCCTAAATATGTGAGAGTGTGATTTGTCTCTTTAAGTTATTTTATTACAGTTCCATTTTTCCCCATTTTCTACCTTACAGTGAGAATACTTAGACAATTGCATGTGTTGGAGACTCAAAATCCACATTAATACCTCAAAAAATCTTAGTTACCCTTTTAGTCAGTGCTCTAAAAGTGTGCAATTACCAATAATCACCTGTGGGTGGTGCCATCCTATAGGAGAATTTAAATTCGTGTTCAGGGTACAGAGACAATTTAATATCATACATTTTTCAACCTTTAAATATGAAATAGCTAATTTCTTGTGAAGCAGATAAGGTTCTCTGCTTAACTAATAAGAAGCTCATGGGAACATTTCCAGTGAAAAATCTCCAAGGTCTTTTCTGTCTGCTAAGAGAATCGTTTGAGAAATGAACTACAGCATAGTTAAAAAATTATTTCCTTTTAAACTTACCATTTGTATGGGGATGGTTTCATCTTACATAGTACTCTTAGAAAAGTTGTTTGTTTGCTATCGGGTGAGTGTGCTCATCGGAAAGAGACAGAGAGGGAGAGAGAAAGAAAGAGAAAAAGAAAGAAAGTGAGGAAGCACTCCCAGGGAAGATGACCATGCCACAGTCCCTTCTCCTTGACTCTCCTTTCAGGATTTGGGGCATGCATGCACAGGCTCCTGGCATGCTTTTCAAGCCACTGGGTACAGGACTTGAATTGTGCAGTCGGTCATGTGGGATTCAGCCACCTTAACTGGCAGGCCCAATTTTTTTCTCTTATCAATATTCTTAGTTGGAATTTTTTTAAACCAACTGTCTTTTGAGAATCTTATATGTCAAATTCGTGGTTAAAATGGGTCAGCTTAATTCAGGAATCTAGACACAGTAAATGTATTACTGATGTGCATGGGAGGGGAAACAGGTTATGACTATATGTTTATTCTTTTTTATTATAGGAGAATTCCAGACTCCTTCAAGAACGTGGTGTGGCCTATATTAATGCTGATTCTTCTATAGAAGGTGAATATTGTTGGTTTTATAAGAAAAGTTGCTAGGAGCAACAGTTTAATTCATAAATTATGTACTAGCAAGGATGGGAGTCCACCAGCATGTGGTGCGCGAATTTCCTGCTGCTGGTCTGAAAGACTACTGCCACATGTGAGCCCGAGTTGAGATTTTTCTTGCTGTTGTTGTTGTTAATGAGTTTTGCACTTAGACTGATGATTCAGGAAAGCAGCATTCAATTTGCTTCATCTGGTACACTGCCTATCTATGGCAAGAACTTAGTAAATAGCTATTGAATGAATAAGTCATAGATCTAAAGACTTCTGTGGTTTTGAATGGGATATAAAATATCACTTCAATTTAACCCTTAGTCTTATCCTAATATCAATGTTGATTATTCAATACTAATTTTGAAAAAAATACTGACTTTTAAGGTTTTACCTTTCACCAGGTGTTTTTACTTTTTACATTTTTCTTCCATTTAACAATTATTAACTGAGCACCTCTCTGTGCAATATACTTTTTCAGAATTCAGAAATGTCAGAGGTTAATAAAAAAACATTGTCTTATGCTAGGGAGTTATGGCTCAGTATTGATGTTAAAATGAATCAGTCTTTGATTATAATATAAGCAGGTACTATAAGAAGAATATACTCAAACTGTTCTGGGATTTTAGAAGAGAGAATAATAGCAACTTCAATAAAGACTTAAGAAATGGGATGGGACCAGCTCCAGGCTTGTGTTTAAGGGAGCCGGATCCTGCATAGAAGACTGCGGTTCGAATCCCAGCTCTGAGGGCAAAGCATATCCTCCTTCTAGGAAAATCAGTTCAGGAGCCACCTCCTTGGTGACTCTGTTTAAACTGTCCCTCCCTCAGGCTCCCTTTAAGTCAGCCACCCTTCCTCCATTGTCACCGCTTCCCAAGCTCCTCCTGGCTGCTTTGCTTCAGCTTACACCCAACAGCCCATGGCTCCTGAGGGCTGGGGACCTGATACAGAGCCAGCTAGAGAGCACCTGGCTTTCAGAATCATTTTCACAATAATACTTTTTGGTTATTGCTAAGTGCTAGAAGTGTTCTATGTACTAGAGATCCTGCAGTGAAGAAAAGAGCACCTGCTCCATGAAGATCAGAGTCTAATGGAGAGAGGTTAATGAAATGACAAGTACTTTAATACCTTAGGTAGAGGAGTAAAGGGGGAGAAAAACAAAGCAAAGTTAAGAAAGAGTGGCTAGGACAAGGGGTGGGGATTGTGTGCTTTTTTAGAAAGGTTTGTCAGGGGAAACCTCCTAGAAAACATGACACTAGACCAGAGGAGAGGAAATCATGCAGATACAGTGAAGAACACTGCTCCCGTCTGAAAGATCGGAGTGTCCAAAGACCAGGAGGGAGTATTCTTGGACACAGGAGGAGTTCAAGAGTTGGAGAATGACCTGAGAGTCTTCCATACATGGCACTGTGGGCCATGGTGAGGATGATCAATTTCTTTCTTTTTCTAATTTGCCCATGGGCACGTCTTGCTTGCCGGAGAGATAGAGAGGGAAAATGAAAAAGCACCTCCATAGGGAAAGGTCACACCACAATCCCTTCTCCCCCATCTCTCTTCTTTTCAGTATTTTGGGCACACATGCATATGCACATGACATATTTAAGCTGCTGGGTCCAAGAGTCAAACCATGCAGTTGGCCATGTGGGATCCAGCCACCTTAACTGACACACCACTAGCAAACCCATGATCAATGTTATAGAGTGAAATGGGAAACCACTGGAGAGTTTTAATCAAATTTAAGTTTAAAGAAATCATTCTGGCTATGAAGTTAACAGTCATCTGTGAATAAAAGAATAATGGAAAGAAAGAAAATATAATCTATCCTCTCCTTGTCTTTCAGGAAACTACACTCTTAGAGTTGATTGTACACCATTGATGTATAGTTTGGTATACAACCTAACAAAAGAGGTAAAAATAATTAAATAATATTTGAAGAATTCTAAGTTCTACAAATAATATTTTCTCAAAGTGCCATTATTATGTCAAATATCCACATTGTTTTGTTACTGTTTATGTATGAATATGTAGAACAGATATCCGCTCTCTAGCTCATCATGTCTAACAAACCGGTCACACAATACCTCATTCCTCCCCACACCACAGTGAGACAGCCTTTGGGCAGCATTTTTTCCACCACCTCTATTTTGTCAGTGAGGACACCGAGCTCGAAGAATATCAGCCACCAAAGTCAGACAAGTTGTTCAGTACCTCAATTATGACGTCCTCTGGTTTAACTCCTTAACTTTAAAACTGGTTTATTCTCCATAACGTAGTGATGGCCATTAATTGGATACAATTTCAGGACTTAAGACAAGTTAAAAGTTCTGAGAAAGAATGTGCGTTGAAAACACCAAGTGCTTGGGGGGAGCCCATGGCCTGCTAGTTGAGGCAACTGGCTCTCGCATGGTTTGAATCCTGGACCCTACAGCTGATAAAACACTCAGGCTCATATGCGTGCATGCCCAAATCCCCACAGGATGGACATGTGGGGGAGAAGGGATTGTGGCATGACCACACCTCATACTGGGGGTGCGGGCTTCTCTGTCTCTCTCTCTCTCTCTCTCTCTCTCTGGACAGCACAAGGGCCCTCTGGAAACTAAAATAGAAATGTAAATATCTGAAATGTGATATTTCAGAGAATCCTCACCATTCATGCAATTTAAGATAAAAGCTAAGGACCTGGCAGTTATTTCTGTTTTCTAACTGGGTCAGTAATGCCTTGTGACAACTATAAAAACATTCTCTCTAGAGCAGGTTGATACGATGTAATGCTTGAATATTTCTTGTTTTTTCTTTTGTTTGTTTGTTTGGGGAGAGTGATTTGCAGTATTTTAAATTTTGCCATTAATTTTCCATTAGTGATATATTTTTACATTCTTTCCAATTTGACTTTCTTAGCTCTGAAATAGCCTTGTCCTTTCTTTAAAAGTTTTATGTAAGTTTATAAATGTAATTAAATGATTTTATTGCTCTATTTATTCATATTGTACAAGTTAAGATCTGACTCATGCTTGTGCAAATTTAATTTGTGTTCTCTTAGAACTTTGCACATGTATCGATTCTAGTATCTAGCATATAGAATAGCATTTTTATGCACAGTTCTCATTAGTAGAGTATGCTGCGTGCCTTCTTGTCTTATTGATCCCTACATCCCTGGCATCTATAAAAAGTCTTAAACTTGGGGGACCAGCAGTTAGCATAATGGCTATGTCGCTAGACTCCCACGTAGTCGACCGTGGATGGAGGCCCAGACCCGGTGGCTTAAACTCCCGCCAGGTGTGTGTGCGTGCATGCCCAAGATCCCGAGAGGAGAATGGAGGAGAAGGGACTGAGGCGTGGCCATCCCCCCTGGGGGGTGATTTCTCACTTTCTGTCTCTCTGTTTATCTCTGTCTGTCTGGCGAGCGCATGCACCGTATAGCAAAAAAACCTCTCCAAAAAAGAAAAAAACAGTCTTAAACTTTATTCTAATGACAGAAAACATGTGCACACGCATGTGTACATGAAAGGGGGACAGAGTGGAAAATAAAGTGCCCTCACCGGGTCTCTATATATTTCCCTATGTTCTCCAGTTCCTCAGGACCTTGAGCACCTGCATGTGCGCCTGGCACATATTCAGGCCAAGCTGAGAAATCCAAGCCACAGTCGGCCATGTGGCTTCCAGCACTGCAGACCAGTACACCACAGGCTGTGCCAAACGGTTGACTCATCTATAAACTTTTTGAATTGTGTTTGTTGAAAAATAGCACATAAAACTTTTATTAAATGTAAGATAAAAACATTTTATACCATATGTTATTTGAAAAAATGTGGCATAACTTTTCCAACAATCCAGTATTTTCAATTCCCTGTAAATAACTATGGGACATTAAATGAAGTTTAATTTGCTAATTATTTTTGGCATAACACTTAATGCTGAATTGGGAATTCAATACTAGATCATATGAACTCCCTTAGGTTTCTCAGTTACAAAACTAGAAAATGTATTTAAAGCCCTGTGGTATGACACAAATTACAATAAATAACTAAATAAAATATGTACTACTCTGTACTTCATTATATGTTATTTAATGGCTTTTGTAACCTGACTGGCAAGAAATGATATTAAAAAGAATACTTTCCCTTAACCACCTCGCCCTTTTTCATTCTCTTTTTATAAGAGGAGAAAGACATGGTCTTCACAGTTGCCACCACTTCAGAGAAATAGATCCAGAAAATTATACTTATGATCACTCAGCTCAAGACAATCGCTTAGTAGTAATTTGGCGTAGTCATTTTGTGCCTTCAGGTTGATAGTTACATCTATGCTTAATGAGTACATTCTTAATAATATAGCCTATGTTGTGAGAAATTTGTTATTTAACTCATAATTATTACTAATGTATGGATCAAATCCCTTGTTTTGCTGAACTGTAGTTTAGCTGTTCATTCCTGGTTAATGGATATATTAGATTGTAATACATCTGATTTATATTCTCTTTTCTTAATTTGTGTAGCTGAAAAGTCCTGATGAAGGCTTTGAAGGTAAATCTCTTTATGAGAGCTGGAGCAAAAAAAGTCCTTCACCCGAATTCCATGGCATGCCCAGGTAAACAAATAAACAAAATTTCTACTGAATTTAGTGTGTTATTTTATTATTATTTTTTGGGGGGGGAAGGGAAGAGATTATTGCTATAGAGTGAGTGCACTTGCCAGAGAGACAGAAAGTGACAAATAATCTCCCCCAGAGGGGGATGGCCATGTCACAGTCCCTTCTCCTCCTTGCTCCGCGTGGGATTTTGAGCACACATGCACATGTGCCCAGAGTGAGTTTTAAGCCGCCAGGTCCAGGACTCAAACTGCAGTTGACTACATGGAAATCTAGCAATGTACCATTATGGCATGTGCTGGTCACAGTGTGTGTTTATTTTTAAAATGAAAGAATATTTTCTTTTAGTCATTAGTTTAAAAAATTAACTTTCTGAATGCTCTCAAATATGTTAAGCAATGCTTACTTTCACTAATGAAATACTACTGTGCAATTTGAACTTAAACCGAGAGGCCACCAAAAGCTATTCTTTTTGGAATAGGTAATAAATATATACATGGCACATAAAAAATATTATAGTGAAGATAACGATGGGGTGTAATTCCTCATATTTCTGTTCCCTTGTCACCCTGTAATTATTTTTCTGGACAATGTACAATTAACACATATTTTAGTTACTCTAATGAAAATCTAATTATCACTCTAGCATTAGTTGTATCTTCTCAAGTTGGAGAAGAAAAAGAAATATCTCAGTAGCTGAGATAATAGATAGCAATAAAAATAATTTAAATTTTTAAGGGCAGAATTTGTGCCTCAGTTATCTGAAAAAATGTTGCTTTTTCTCACTTTATCATGTACAACAGACATACATAATAAATAGAAAGACATAATCTAAAGAAAAATATTTTCTTTTTTCTAAAGAATTATTTCATTTATGTATTTGTTTGCTTGTTTGTTTTAATTTGAGCAGAGGGGGAACAGAGAGAGAGAGAGGGAAAGTGAGAAAGCAAGCTGCCAGATCCAGGACTTGAAAGACAGTCGGCCATGTGGGAGTCCGGTGCCCTTAACCCCCACGCCATCTGCTGGCCCCAAGAAAAATATTTTCCAACTTCAGGAACCCTTAAAAGAATATGCCATCTGAGGCCAGCAGGTGGTATGGTAGTTAAAGGTGCTGGATTTCCACATGGCTCTCAGTGGTTCAGTTCCCAGACCTGATGACTTGTTTTCTCGCTTTCCTTTTCTCTCTCTCTTATAAAATTAAAAATAATCACGAAAAATGGAATTAATTAAATAAATAAATATATTTTTAAAATATGCCATAAAATAGTCACCCTTACATGAAGTAGTAACATGAAATAGTCTTATAAAAAATATATTTTACAATGAAATTAATATTCCTATTTTATTTTCAAATGTCATGTTATATTTAAAAATTATATTTACAATAGTGAAAATGGAGTTTAGATTAATTGATCTTTATCTGTAATTGATTAAGAAGTCATTCTGAAATAATTCTTTATCCCTAAAAGGATTAGCAAATTGGGATCTGGTAATGATTTTGAGGTGTTCTTCCAAAGACTTGGAATTGCTTCAGGCAGAGCACGATATACTAAAAATTGGGTAAGTATGTCTCAAGGAATCCTTCAAGACTGTGAATATATGTGTGTGTAAGTATACATATATATGTATATAACTGAATGATTATATATAAATATATAGGTTATACATATTTTTTTTTAACTTTTGCCATAGGGTGCATACATTCACTGGAGAAAGAGAGAGAAGGAAAGTGAGAAATTAGCCCCCAGGGGGGATGATCATGCCACAATCCCTTCTCCATTCCCCTCTAGAGATTTTGGGTACACACACATACACACATACACACACACACACACACACACTCACAGGCATTCAGTGTGTTTTTCAAACTACCTAGTCCAGGACTTGAACTGCGAAGTTGATTATGTAGCATCTAATGCCTTTAACCACAGTGCCACCTGCTGGCCCTTGTGAATATATTTCAACTAAACAGATAATTCTGACTCCAAAAGAAATTCCTCAAGTTTCAAAGGAATAAAGAATCACAGACAGAAGGGAACAGTTTCAGTGGTTGATGGTGGTACCACTTCATGGGACAGTTCCAGCCTCTGGCATCCTCAGCCCCATATTCAAGTTTCACTTGACCCTGGCACGACATTTGCACAGTCATTTAAGTTAAAAATAAAGAAAATGTCTTTGATTCCTTTTCCCCCATTATTATTCAAAATCAGTATCAAGGCTTGCAAATATTTGGATTTTTATCTCTTATTTATATCATTAAACAAATAACAAATCATTAAACAAATCACAAATTGTAGTAAACACATAAAGCCATAATCCTTCTCTTTTGAGGTTGTTGATAGTAATAATTATAGTTTTGTTTTTACCAAAGTAACATAGGTACATAGTTGAGAAAATGTCAAGTAGCTACATAAAATGTTATATTTAACAACAGTGGTGTCTTGGGGCCAGCAGGTGGTGAGGTGGTTAAGGATGCTGGACTCCCACATGGCCAACCGCAGTTTGAGTCCCAGATCTGGCAGCTTGCTTTCTCACTTTCCTTCTCTCTCCTCTCTCTCTCTCTCTTTGTCTCTTTCTGGTCAAATTTAAAAACATAAATAAATAAGTAAATCAAGTTAAATAGTTATTTAATAAAAGGGAAAAAAAAAGTAGTCATCTCTTATCTCATGTCCACATTCATTCTACCATTAATTGTTGGACATTGGATTAGAAACTCACCAGTCTGAGCATCCCTGATCTCTCCTTTGTGAGATTTTAGATCTCCCTCTGAATCTTTTACACTTAAACTCTCTACTCTCCAGCACATCATTTATTGGAGAGTCATCAATCTGTGAAATTACAGTGATTAAATAATTTAGTAGGCTGGCCCCATGGCACAGAGGCGAAGCACTGTGCAGAGTGAGCCAGATCTCAAATGGTGGAGTATAGTTCAAGTCATGGCCTTGGAGACATGCCAAGCATACCAGGCACATGTATGTACTTGTGCCCAAGATATTGATAAGGTAGAGAAATGGAAGAAAACAGGATTGTGGCAGGACTAGGATCCACTGGGAATCCTTTCTCTCTCTTTATCCCTCTCTCATGCACATATACACACTTTCTTGGATTCAGAAAAAAAAAAAAAGTACTTCCCTGTATAATATATCATGTAATTCTTATTTACTTTTCTGATTGTCTTTTTTATTTTATGAATTGTTATTTACATTCAATCATTGTACATCTCTACAGCACACAATCCATTTATAAGGCATTGCATGTATTATATGACAATCAAATCAAGATTATTGCTATAAACATTGTTTTCAAAAACTCCTATCAAAAACTCTTAAATTGGGGCCAGCAGGTAGCTTGGTGGTTACAGCACTAGACTCCCACATGGCCAACCATGGTTTGAGTCCTAGATCTGACACCTCGTTTTTCTCACTTTCCCTCTCTCCCTCCCCCTCTCTCTCTTGCTCTCTATTTCTCTGGTGAGTGCATATGCCCTATAGCAAATTTTAAAAATAATAATAAAATAAAATAAATAAATCTTAATAAAAAAATTCTTAATTTATTTTCACTGAAATGCAACATTGTCTTTTTAAAAGATTCCTAAACTATATTCATACATCCTGTATACTTAAAGTTTAGGTACCCTTCTCAAGTGTACTTAACTACTATATCAGCCTTTAGTAAATAGCTTATTGAAGAAATTAAGTATATTCCTTTTTTCATAATTGATCTAACATTCTTACTAATATTAATAGTAAATATGATGCCACATATTTTATTATAAATTATCTTACAATATATTTTGTTTTGTTTTGTTTTTTTTTAGGAAACAAACAGGTTCAGTGGCTATCCACTCTATCACAGTGTCTATGAAACATATGAGTTAGTGGAAAAATTTTATGATCCCACGTTTAAATATCACCTCACTGTGGCTCAGGTTCGAGGAGGAATGGTGTTTGAACTAGCCAATTCCTTACTACTCCCTTTTGACTGTCGAGATTATGCTGTAGTTTTAAGAAAGTATGCTGACAAAATGTACAATATGTCAATGAAACATCCACAGGAAATGGAAACATACGATGTATCATTTGGTATGTTACATTTCCCCTTTCAAAATTCGTTATCTGTTTGTGTCTATGAATGTCTAAAGTATAATGACAAGTTTATTATTTATTGCTGCTCAGTGTGTCCAAATACTCCATTTATATCTATAAATGTATTTTTCATATAAGAGGTGCACATATTTTATAATATACAAAATATAAATACCTTGTGAAACATGAAAGAGGGTAGCTTTCTATACCGTTTCATTTTTTATAAAACTATAGAATAATACCATTAGAATCATATTCTTAAAGCTTTTGCTGATCCTTATTTTTATTCCAGATGCACTCTTTTCTGCAGTAGAGAATTTTACAGAGATTGCTTCTAAGTTTAGTGAGAGACTGCAAGACTTTGACCAAAGCAAGTATGTTCCCTATCTATAAGTATATAAAAGAATGAAAAAGAAATACTGATTAATGCCTTTGTTACTGAAATAACTTCGGAACTGTGTTGCTCTTTTCTGTCTTTCCACTCCATTGCATCCTATGTAGGGCTGCCAAGTCTCTCAAAGACCGATTTTTGACATTCTGAGTGGAAACTGTGCTGCTCAGAAATGCCAAAGTCTCCTCACTGCCCGTCAATGGCTTGTAAGAGTCCCCCTTAGCACCGAAGGCCCTCCACGGGGTGGACCCAGTTTTTGCCAGTTTTCTCTCTTGTTCTTTCAATGTCCATAAATCATCTTTCAATAGAAGGAGGGTACATGCATGCAGGTGCCCTCTATGTTTTTTTTTTTTTTTTTTGAGAGGTTTTCGCTATAGGGCGCGTGCACTCGCCAGACAGACAGAGACATAGAGACAGAAAGCGAGAAGTCACCCCCCAGGGGGGATGGTCACGTCGCAATCCCTTCTCCTCTGTTCTCCTCTCGGGATCTTGGGCACGCACACACACGCGCCTGGCGTGCGTTTTAAGCCACCGGGTCCGAGACGCGAACTGCGGTCGACTACGTGGGAGTCCAGCGACATAGCCATTACGCTAACTGCTGGTTCCCAGCCCTCTATGTTTTTCAAGCCACCAGAGCTGGTATTCGAACTGCAGTCTGCTATGTGGGATGTCTCCTTATGCCATTTCTTAAGTCTTTTTTGAAGTTGCTATTAGTCTGTCTTCTAAATATCCAGAACAGTTTGACTATATTCTTCTTATAGTATCGGCATATATTATAATCCAAAATTAACTTATTTTATCAATACTGAGCCATAACTCCCTAGCATAAGGCAATTTGTTTTTAACTAACCTCTGACATCTCTGAATTCTGAAAACATATATTGCACAGAGAGGTGCTCAATAAATAACTATTGAATTAAAAATATATACTTAATAAAAACGCCTGGTAAAAGATGAAACATTGAAAATCAGTATATTTTTTTCGAAATTTTGTCTGTTTGATATTAGGATAAGGCTGAGGGTTATGTTTAAATGATATTTTATATCCCATTCAAAACCATAGAACTCTTTAGATCCATGACTAATTCATTCAATAGCAATTTACTAAGTTCTTGCCATAGATAGGCAGTCTGCCAGATGAGGCAAATTAAAGAATGCTGCTTTTCTGAATCATCAGTTTAAGTGCACAGCACATCTGGGAAAAAAAAGAAAGTCTCAACAAGGGCTCACACGTTGCTGTAAAGACTGATGAGCCACCAGCAGGAGATTCCCACACTACACGGGGATGGACTGCCATCCTCCTTGGTGCATACTTTATGAGTTACACTGCTGCTCCTAACATAATCACAACTTTCTTTTTTGTTTCTTTTTTGAGAGATTTTTACTATAGAGAATGTGCATTCGCCAGAGAGAGACAGAGAGACAGAAAGTGAGAAATCACCCCCTGGGAGGGATGGCCATGCCACGATCCCTTCTCCATTTCCCCCTTGGGATTTTGGGCATCCCCACACATCCACTGTGAGTTTTAAACAGCCGAGTCCGGGACTCAGATTGCTGTCAACTACGTGAGAGTCCAGCAACATTTTCATTACGCCATCTGCTGGTCCCCCAAAACTTTCCTTATGAAACAAACAATATTCACCTTCTATAGAAGAATCCACGTAAGATAGGCTACAACATGCTCTTGAAGGAGTCTGAAATTCTCCTATAATAAAAAATAGAGAAAAGTATAAACACATAGTTATAACCTGCTCTCCCCCACCCCTCCACCCTGCAAATGCATATCTTCATTTACTGTGACTAGATTACTGAATTAAGCTGACCCATTTTACCCATAAATTTGACATACAAGCCTCTCGAAAGACAGTTGGGGGGCCAGTAGGTGGAGTGGAGTTAAGGCTCTGGATTCCCACATGGCTGACTATGGTTCGAGTCCCAAACCCAGTATTTTGAAAATCATGCCAGGCATTTATCCAAAATCTCAAGAGAAGAGTGGAGAAGAAGGGATTAGGTTGTGACCACACTCCATCTGGAAGGGTGCTTTCTCCTCCTCTTCTTCTCTGTGTCTCTGTCTGAGACATGCCCATATACAGTTTAAAAGTTGAGAAGCAGTGGAGCAATGACAATGCAACCTGACTTAAGAACATTAAAAAGGTTCAGAAATTGAAAAATTAATATTCAAAAGCAAATAGGAAAGAATTGAAAACGTCCAGAAAACCAGAAAATATTGGAAGAACATAATACATACATTGTAAAAATACTTTTTGAAAAGTGATCTGAAAATTAAAAAAAAAAACAAAGTTGGCAATATTGTTAATAAGACAATTCAAAAAGAAGATACAATTTGTAAAGGTACTTATAGCAGTGTTGGTCTGTAGCCTAGTGGTTAAGGTAGCTGGGTTTCACATGACCAAGCATGCAGTGCAAATCCAAGCTACAGAGGCTTGAAAAACATGCCAAGCATGTATGCATTTATGTTGAAGTCATAATGGTCAAAGCATAATATTATGCTAACAGGTCAAATCTATGCTTCATTTACTTATCTAAGTTCCTAATACTAAATAAGCAAATGCTGAAAAGAGTTGAAATACAAACTATGAGGATTTCAGTTATTCTTATTTCCTTTGTGGTCAGAGTATAACTGAAAGTGGAGTACTGACCTATTTCACTCTAAATCTTTGTAGTTGTGAACTTGGACAAGTTATTTAACTACTGATTCTTAGTTATCTCATCCATGAAATAGATATATTACCTTGTTCAGCCTGCAGTATTGTTTTGAAAATTAAATATAACAAATCATATAAACATTTAGAACAGTAATTTCACATAGGAAGCAATCACTAAATGCTATTAAAATGAAACCATGAAAAAATTAAGAGCTAACTGGGAACCAGCAGTTAGCGTAATGGCTATGTCGCTGAACTCCCACGTAGTCGACCGCAGTTCGTGTCCTGGACCCGGTGGCTTAGAACTCACGCCGGGCGCGTGTGCATGCGTGCCCAAGATCCCAAGAGGAGAATGGAGGAGAAGGGATTGTGGCGTGACCATCCCCCCTGGGGGCGATTTCTCGCTTTCTGTCTCTATGTCTCTCTCTGTCTGTCTGGTGAGCGCACGCGCCCTATAGTGAAAAAAAAATAAAACCTCTCCCCCCCCCAAAAAAAAATTAAGAGCTAACTAAATTAATGGATGAAACAGTGTATTATTCCTTTATTGCAATGATTTTTTTTCTTTTTAGTTAATTGGATTACAACAGAATTAGTGTATGGAATTCAGTAACTCATCATTGAAGTTCTTGACAAATTTTTAGTTATATTGAATTATTCTTACTACAATAACAACCCCCACACCCTTTGGAATGTGGCCTTTTTGAGACAGGTAGTATTTAATACATAGCAGGTATTCAAATACCCACTAAAAGGATCACATAAACACAATCTCTAGTGTTCATGATAGACTTATCTTTAATAAAAATAATATTATTGTCACTTGGCAAAGATTTATAATTCATCAGGCATCTTAGGACACATCAATACATTCTCAGTATTGGTATTACCTCTACCAATAAATTACTAGGCTGCCTAAGGTGAAAAAGTCTTGCTGATGTCTATATACTTAGGTATATAAATTATTATTTTGATTTAAGTAAATATTACTATATATTTTCCCATTTGTACTAACAGTGGTCTCATAGGCCTCAGGAGACTAGTATTTCATAGGATTTTAAAAATATAGTAACTATGTAAGTTGCTACTTTTAATTTGTATCCTATAGGAATTTAAAGTATACTAGCAAGTTTAGTTTTGTTCTGAATGTTTAGTTTGCTAGATAAGCACATATGTTTCCATGAAATTATGACTTATATTCATTTTCTTTTCTAGTCCAATGTTATTGAGAATTATGAATGACCAACTAATGTTTCTGGAACGGGCATTTATCGATCCCTTAGGGTTACCAGACCGACCTTTCTATAGGTAAGAGAAAAAAATGTAACTCCTTGCAATAATATCACCTTTTCTTATTTTTTATACTGCGAGAAAAAAAGGTCCCAGCTGATTTAATGCAAGCAAATAGAAAATTTAAATATATATACACATTTAAATGATAAATGTATTATTTTTCATATATCTTCTTGTGTATCCTTCCTTTTAGTATCTTTTTTATTTGTTTCTGATGATAATATATGTTTATTTTAGGATGTTTAGAAAATCTAGAAGACCACAAGCAAAATGTAAAAATGTTCCCAATTCCATAAGAAAAATATAAAAATTACATTTATATTATATATAATAAATATATATTTATTAACTCACTACCTCAATGTTGATATATAGGATTTTATTTCCTTTTTTGTTTTGTTTTTTATTTTTGTTTTAATTAGCACAGGGCACATGCACTCACCAGAAAGAAAAATGAAGGAAGAAAGTACTCTTTGGTGCTAGCAAATGGTGTAGTGTTTCATCACTCGACTCCTACACGGCCAACCATGGTTCCAGTTCTGGACCTGGTGGCTTGAAAATCATGCCAGGCATGTGTGTGTGTGCACCCAAGGTCCCAGGAGAATGGAGGAGAAGGTATTGTGGTGTGGCCATCCCCCTGGGGTGATTTCTTACTTTCCCTCTCACTGTCTCTCTCTCCAACAAGCACATGTGCCCTATGGGAAATACCTCTGGAAAAAAGCGAGAAAGAAAGAAAGAGAGAAAGAGAGGAAGGAAGGGAGGGAGGGAGGGAGGGAGGGAGGGAGAAAGGAAGGAAGGAAGGGAGGAAGGAAGGAAGAAAGAAAGAAATCTAAAATAGGGCATGGTCATGCCACAATACCTTCTCCCCCATTTCTCATTCTATCAAGATTGTCTGGGATTCACACTGCAGTTAACCATGTGGAATTTAGCTCTCTTAACCACTAAGGTATAGGGCCGGCCCATTCTCCTATATTTTGTAATTATTTCTGATATATACCAACTCTCCCCAGATTTGTTTGTTTTACCTAAATATTGCAGAATGAGTCAAATCATCAAATACCTTAAAAAAGGCCCATCTTTCTGTCTTGAAATCCAAGCAGTGGGTCAGAGCTAGGAGTCAGGGTGACTGATTTACCAGTGGCAGCATGACCATTGCCACTTCTGAACTTTATCACTATGGAATTTGTCCTTCTCTTCCAGAGCTATAACATGAACTGTCTGAGCCCCTTTAATTAAAATATCTTGTGCCTGGTTCATGCAGATCATTGTGAAACTGTTGTTAATTACCATGTTTTTCATAGACCGGTCTGTGGAGAGGGTTGACCTTGGAAGTTCAGCTAAGAGAGACATGTTCAAATCATAAAATTAGGACTATGTAACCCAGGTGTTGTAGATTACCTTTGTTTTTATCTTGTACAGTATTTTGGCAAGTAACAGACACTAAACTGTTGTATCAACAGGCATGTCATCTATGCTCCAAGCAGCCACAACAAGTATGCTGGGGAGTCATTCCCAGGAATTTACGATGCTCTGTTTGACATTGAAAATAAACCGGACTCTTCGAAGGCCTGGCGAGAGGTGAAGAGGCAGATTGCTGTTGCAGCCTTCACAGTGCAGGCTGCTGCAGTGACTCTGAGACAAGTAGCCTAAGCAGTTCTTTAGCGAACCCGTATTGAATTGGTATGGTATACCACTCAGAAGAATCATGGTGGGTATATTGATAACCAAAAAATAAGCATAGAGCTGACCCTTGAATAAGTAGGTTTGAATTATGCAGGCCCATTTACACATGGATTTTTTCAATAAATATATTGGAAAAGACAACATTACTGTAAACATAACTTCTCTTCCTTAAGAGTTTATTGATAACATTTTGTTTTTGTTATCTTACTATCATTTCATAATAATATGGTATATAATATATATATATATATAATGTACTAACAATGCATTAATTGAGTGTGTAATTGGTGCGGTTTCCAATCAACAGTAGGCTATCAATAGGTAAGTTTTAGGGGATTCAAAGTTATATGTAGATATTCGATTCTATTTGGAAGGAGGAGTCAGTACCCCAACCCCTATGTTGTTTAAGAGTCAACTGTATTGATAAACTAAAAATAAAAGTGGATATGTGTGTGTGTGTGTGTGTGTGTGTGTGTGTGTGTGTATGTTCTTTTATCTTCTCCTTATGAATCAAAAAAAGAAAAATTGACCATTTTAATTATATAATTATCTTTTTTTTTTTTTGGAGAGGTTTTTGCTATAGGGTGCATACACTCGCCAGACAGACAGAGAGAGACATAGAGACAGAAAGCGAGAAATCACCCCCCCAGGGGGGATGGTCACGCCACAATCCCTTCTCCTTCGTTCTCCTCTCGGGATCTTGGGCACGCACGCACACGCGCCCGGTGTGAGTTTTAAGCCACCGGGTCCGGGACACGAACTGTGGTTGACTACGTGGGAGTCCAGCGACATAGCCATTACGCTAACTGCTGGTTCCCTAAATATAATTATCTTGAGTGGTTGGAAAAGTCTTGACATATTTTTTCTGTTTTTCTGTGCAAAAATGTGTCGTGACTTTTCTAACAACCCAATAGAAGGTGATGCTGAAGTTGAAAAGTTGAACTAAGCATTAAAACTAAGAAGAACAGGGACCAGTCACTCCCCCTGGGGAGTGACTTCTCGCTTTCTATCTCTCTGTCTCTGTCTGTCTGTCTGGCGAGCGCACGTGCCCTATAGCAAAAAAAAAAAACTCTCAAAAAAAAAAAAACCTAAGAAGAACAGCGTAATATAGGAAAACCCATTATCTGGCACTATTAAGAAATCAAGTCTAATATGACACTTCTGAATCTATTCACGTCAATTGTGCTCAAAGACAAAGATCCATTTGTTTAGAACACACTGGGGAAAATGCATAGGGCTGCTGTAAGCCACAGCCTCAGGCCCTGCCTGACCACTCAAGGCAGAGCAGATCTCTAGATGGAAAACTGATCTGTCTTGTAAATATTGTCACTCTATCCCAAGAGAAATAATTCCTTTTTAAAAATTGGAGACCAGCAGATGGCGTAGTGGATATATTGCTGGACTCCCATGTGATCGAATGCAGTTTGAGTCCTGGACCCAGTGGCTTAATCTCATGCCAGGTGTGTGTGAGTGCATGCCCAAGATCCTGAGAAGAGAAAGGAAGAGAAGAGATTGCAGCATGGCCATCCCCACTGGGGGGCTGATTTCTCGCTTTCTGTCTCTCTGTCCCTCTGTCTTTCTGGTGAGCACATGTGTCCTATAGCAAAAACCTCAAAAAAAAAAAAAAAAAAAAAAAGAAAGAAAGAAAAAGAAGAAACATTTATATAAAAAGCTATATATAACACCTATGTGAAAAAATAATAGTTAAGTGAATATTTACTGGGAAACCCAATAACCAGAAAGGGACAGTTCCAATATTTCTGGATTCCCTCTGAACCACTGACCAATTATGCCTTTTCTACTAAGAGTAATTGTTTTCTTGAATTTTACCTGTACCTTCCTATGGTTTTTTGTTTTGTTTTCCCTTTCTCTCTCTCTCTCCTTGTTTTAAAGTAAAAAATTATTTTACTTGGCCATAAGTTTGAAGACTGTACCAGGTACAGCCCAGAGGAACATACATTCCAAACACACTCACTGAGGTCCAAAGCATCACAGTATACACTTTAAATATATAAAACAAAATGAACATGTTTTACAAAAGGCACTTTTGGTCTTTATTCCCTGCATGAAATGCCTGCCATGGCAAACTTTAGCACGGCACTACTATGGCGGCCAAACTGCTCCCTGAGCCTGTTCCTGTCCTGCCTGTGCCACCCTTGGTTGCATGCCTACACAGAAAACACTATAGCCTCACTGAAGCTGCAAGGGGTATTGCTGCCTCTGCCCAACTCTGTGGGGTTGGTGTCCCCCACTTTCTGACCTTAAGACTCATTCCTCAACTTCACCCTTGGAAACAAGCACAGCAAATGAGCTGCACTGGTCCACCGAGACCAGCTGCTGCCCTCACGTGACACTCCCTCAACCTAGAGAAGACCCAGGTCTTCCTTCTGCTTGTACAGCCCTGGAGGATACCGTCATCCAGGCCACCCAACACCTGCTCCTCACTACCAGCGCAGAGGACGTGAGTGGAAAACAGTGCTCTACCTTCTCCCAGTGCCACTAGTTAAGTGTTAAACGAACAAAGGACCAGCGATTATTTTGAGAAACTAGAATCATCTTGGATAGTATATTAACATTAATTTGCAGAAAAAGATATTATCCAGAAAGGCAATCTAGATGAGAAAGGAGCTTAAAGAGGCTGAAGAGGGACTGCCTTTTCATCACTGTCTCTCCCAGGATGAGGAGGGAAGCTTCTGTCTGGTTGGGCTGGGTGGATGGTGCTACGGGGGTACATATCTTAGAAAGAGGCCCCCAAACTGGGATCTGGTTTCCTATTGAAAGGCATAAGTTGGAGATGAGAAAATGAAGATGTATAAACCAGAACATTCTCATACTGTTCATAGTTAGCCTCCTTACCAGTCCTTCCACCCAGGTACCAGAACTTGGTTTTAGGGTCACGAGTTCCCAGACTGACTGGAAATGACTCTGGGTCATCGGCTGATAGGAACATCTTTGTCACACAGCCCGACCTTCCCTTCAGTTCCCAGCAGTGAGTTCCAAGGAAGATAGAACTCAACACTGGATCTTTCTTCTCACACCACTGTCGCCTTCCAGCACCACCTCTGCAGTTCTGTGTAAGGCTTTCTCAGGAATTTAGAGGTTCTATAGCCCCATGCGGGACTAGAAGTTTGGCCAAAGAGCTTCAAATAATAGGAAGATCAGCCATTTCCCATTCTCCAAACAACAGTACTCAGAAACAATTAAATTTTAGTTTTTGAACTCGCAAGTCACAGGTGACTCACTGATACTTCATGAAATACATAACAACAAAATTAGGCATTTTAATCCACTCATTCTTTTTTTTTCTTTTTTGAAGAGGTTTTTTGCTATAGGGCACGTGCGCTTGCCAGACAGACAGAGAGAGACAGAGAGACAGAAAGCAAGAAATCACCCCCCAGGGGGGATGGCCATGCCACAATCCCTTCTCCTCCATTCTCCTCTCAGGATCTTGGGCACGTGCGCACACGCGCCCGGTGTGAGTTTTAAGCTGCTTGGGTCAGGGATGCGAACCACGGTTGACCACATGGGAGTCCAGCAACATAGCCATTACGCTAACTGCTGGTCCCAATCCACTCATTCTTAGGAATATTGTGGAATAACAAGATTTTCTTAATAAGTACATCGTTCTGTACTTCACTGAGTAAAAAGGTAATAGGAAAATTGATTAGGAAACAGAAAAAAAAAAAAAAACACCACCAAAATGCCCTTGAGAGTATTTTCAACAGTTGTAGACTCCCAGGTGAGATGTTCTTTTTGAAATCAAAGATTATTTTTAATAATTTGTAGGGCTGGCTGCATGGCACAGCAGTAGGGCACTGCCAAGGAGAGGTCAGATCCCACATGGCGATAGCAGGTTGGGTTCCAGGCCCCATCAGCCTGAAACACACCTGGCATGTGCTTGAATGCCTGGGATCTGGAGGCTGGAGGATTGGGAGAGGGGGATGACAGCATGACAGAACCCTGTGAAGAGTGCTCATCTCTCTCTGCCTCTCTCTCTTCCTAGCCTTTATTTTCTCTACCTCTGCTGGTTGCCAGTGCTTGGGATATCTAAAAGAACACTATGCCTATACTTGCTGGGAGACCCTTGATTGACTTGATTTAGAATAGACGAGGCTAAAGAAATCTCCATTCTGAAGTAGGGGTCATTGGTGTTCTTAGGGAAAATGCTTATATTACAAGAATAAATAAATATTAGGTTGTTGGAAAAGTCATGTTGTATTTTTATATGCAAAAATGCATCATCACTTTTTTTTTGAGAGGTTTTTGCTATTGGGCATGTGCGCTCGCCAGAGAGACAGAGTCAGAGAGACAGAAATCGAGAAATCACCCCCCAGGGGGGATGGCCATGCCACAGTCCCTGCTCCTCCATTCTCCTCTTGCGGGATCTTGGGCATGCACGCATGTGTGCCCGGCATGAGTTTAAGTCACCAGGTCCAGGACTAGAACTGCGGTCGACTACACAGGAGTTCAGTGACATAGCCATTACGCTAACTGCTGGTCCCGCATCATCACTTTTACTACAATGCAATAATAAAAAGTATTTCTGACATGACTGAATATATTTTAAAAACCTTAGGTAAAGTATTGCCAAGTTTTCAAAGACATTAGCTAAAAAGCATTAACTGATGCAATCTTCCTTTTTTTTTTTTTAAGAGAGTTTTTTGCTATAGGGCGCGTGCGCTCGCCAGACAGACAGAGAGAGACATAGAGACAGAAAGCAAGAAATCACTCCCCAGGGGGGATGGCCATGCCATAATCCCTTCTCTATTCTTCTCTCAAGATTTTGGGCTCATGTGCACAAATGCCCAGCACGAGATTTAAGCCACTGGGTCTGGGATTCGACTGTGGTCACCTACATGGGAGTCCAGCAACGTAACTACCATGCCATCTTTTGGTCCCTGGGGTGAGTTTTAAGCCAAGTTTGGAACTTGAACTGCGGTTGACTACATGGGAGCCCAGCAACCTAACCATTATGTCATTTGCTGTTCCTGCAATCTTGTTTTAAAAGAATTACTTAATTAATTAATTTAATTTTAAAAATTTCCCATAGGGCATGTGCACCACTAGGGGGAGACACAGAGAGAGGGAAAGTGAGAAAGCAAGCCACCAGTTTGGGGACTCAAACTGTGATCTGCC